TCACAATCACCGCTGAGAGAAATTATCTGGGAAGCTGATCCCACCAGAACATCATATAATGTGTCATGCCAGTTGTAATGGTACATGCTGACAGTCCTTGCCCCAGAAGTTTAGTTAGGCCAAAAAAATGGCTCCACGTCTTTTTTTTGCGGGTGAGATTGTACATTCTTGGGTACAATGCGGTCAACTTTTTATTCTCGACGCGAAGTTGTGGCGCTTATGTCTGCCAAAGATAGGACACCATCTGAAGTTGTCGTTATTGTAACGTTTAATAAATGCCCGTGCGGTGTTTAATATCCTGCTTGATATCGCAGGTAATGCCGAGACCAGCAGGCATTTAACTTCTTGTGAAATTCCATGACAAATATGTGCCTTGGGTTTATTGGCACACGTTAATTCGGATTAATGTTTCAAGCTGCGTGTCGCTGAACATCTTCTGTTACTTCACAAACGAAATGTTATTAAAATAAATGTGCATCTCTCTTTGGCGTCTGCTGGCCTTTATAAAAAAAAAATTCAGTATCTCTCGTGACCAATGCCTGTGGTTTATCGCACCCCTTTGTGGATGTGACTGCTCTGTTAAGCAGCCCTCATCCACAATCTTGCAGCCAAAGTTTAGTCGAAACTCCCCCAGGCTCAAATGAGTATTCCATGGTGCGCATCCCCGCGGCGCTATGAACCTCGTGACCTGAGTTCGATTCCCGACCATGGTTAATAATTATTATTGTAATCAGTGGCGAGCGATATTTGAACTGGTTCGGAGCGCCCTTTTCACCAACCCACACTGATGCGAGTGGCAAAGTATGGTTGAACACACCCCCCCCCCCACCCCCCGTGACAAGACATCATGTGGGGAGTCCGTTATCTAGCAGTGGATTGCCAGAGGACTGTAATTGTTGTTGTTGTAATTATCTCCAGTGGAATTGTTTTCAGCCAGCAGGTGAAATTCTCCATTCCTATGGCAGAGAGCAAACGACCACATTTGACCCACGTGATGCACCTTCACCAGTTGGTCCTCATTTTACCAACCCCAGAGGGATGATCGCATATTTGGTTGATACCAGAGGTGTGGACTCGAGTCATGTGACTTGGACTCGAGTCAGACTCGAGTCATGAATTTGATGACTTCAGACTCGACTTGGACTTGCATAACAATGACTTTGTCCCACCTCTGAGGTGTGGACTCGAGTCATGCGACTTGGACTCGAGTCAGACTCGAGTCATGAATTTGACGACTTCAGACTCGACTTGGACTTGCATAACAATGACTTTGTCCCACCTCTGGTTGATACTAAATCGTGCATGAGTTTGTGGATCTTAGTAATATTTCATGATGAAATATTGCTAAATGTACCATCTATGCTATGAAAATAATGATCGATATTAAAATATATATTATGGCATTAATTAAACACAGCAGTACCTGTATTAATTACTTATTCATGCTTTCGTAAAGGATCTATATACAGAGCAAAGCACGTGCTTTAATGAAATTTAAACATCATTAATCACACCGCTTTGTAGTGTGTCCAGGGAATCAACTGCAGCCACAAGTGGTGCAGAGGGTAGATGAAAATTATTGTTCGAGTTGATTAGGTGGCCCTAGAGGTTAGAGCTCAAAGCGTAGCATCGGTGAGGTCCTGGATTTGAATCCGGGCAGCTACTCGTGACCAAAATCAGCTTCACAAGCGAAGTAAGTTGATAGCCTCAGCCCCATCACCAATTACTGGACACGTACACACTCCATATAGGCAAATGTGACTCATATCCGTGTCAAGCAAAAATAGATTTACCTAAAGGATTTTATGGGGTAAGGCCCTGTAAAAATATATATTCTGCAGCTATTCCCTGACACATGGGGCACACTGCTCTGTGGGATTTCCATTTCCAAAATGTATTCATTGTTCCATGAAACAATGCCAGTGGCTCCATTTTAACAAGTTGGCTCGGAAAACCCAACAAAATTAAATAGAAATTTAAGTTCAAATTAGATGTAACCGTACTGCATATTTGATCAGCACCGTTTTGTTTGTCATCAAAGCTACGGAACACAAACCCAAAGACCTGGAACACAGACCCAAAGACCTACAACACACAGTGGCGAGCAAAAGAGTGTGCAAATAATAGCACAGCAAGATAAAACGTAACATTGAGTAAGGTTATCGGAACTTGGCAAAAGCGACGATGGGAGGGATGTCAACCATGAAGTAGTGTGAGGACAGAAGGAGGAAGATATATATAGTTCCTTGCAATACTATAGTCTTACAATAGGTAAGCTTCTTAAATCCCATGGCCCCTGTCTACTCTTCAGTATAAATGGGTACACCATGGTTAGTTGATCGTAAAGTTGCTTAGTGCTATGCTGCGCTACGAACCTGACGACCCGGGTTCAATTCCCGCTCACGGCCAACACCAGTGACGATTATATGCACCGGTCCTGGGCCTCCTCTAGGTCGACTCAAATGAGTACCTAGTGCGATGTGTAAACATCGCCACTGGGGAGAAAAAGGCGGTCGAGCGTGGTGCTGGCCACCTACCCCCTCGTATGCCGTGCCGGCCTCTTCATAGGTGTTCGCTAACAGCACTTGCCCCAACATTCTATTAAGGCTACACGGGGGGATCTTTGTGGGCACTCCCTGCTCACTCGAGACATCTGACCAGCGTGGAAGAGGCCCAAATATCCTCTAAAGGCGGGGCCAGGGAGAGCTCCCTCCAGTGGAGGCCGCTTCTTCCAGCAGTGGTGTCAGAGAGAAAAAAAGCTTTTGCAGGGCTGCGCCTTTATCTTCTTTATAATCCGGAGGGTGAGAGCAGACAGTCAATCTGGCGGAACGACTTCTTTACGTGTTGCTCGGAGAGCATTCGTGCCACATGTCCCGCGTCCCGTCGTGTTTGGGGAATGTGGCTTTGCCCCTCGCAGGACGTTAACGCATTAGCATTGCTGCCAGCGGGAATCAATGATGGAGAGAAACAACTCCTCGATGGCATTGCAACTAACTTATTGATTGTGTTGTGCTCCTGAAGTACACTCCAATAAATTAACTGTAAAATGCTTAATTACGCCAATGCCAGATGGTTGGAATACAAGATAAACTTTAATAGCACGATATAAATTCCTACATCACTGCTGCCTACCTGAGAGATGCCACGCGGCAAAGCGGAGTGCATAAAAATAATGAATTAACAAGTTAATAATGTGGAGTTTAATTGAATGCGCTGTTCAGTGCACTGCAAATTCCAACATGAATTGCCACAATAAATACAATACTTCATACCTTGTAAGAAATTAGCCCCGCATGAATAACAACACTCTGACTCGGTGAAAAACAGTGGCCCCATGAAGGATATAAAAATCAATGGATCTCTTAATTTTAAAGCGATGCCTTGTACAACTGCAGATACATATTCATCAACAAAAATGTTCGGTGTAGTGTAGGTTTTTAATGATTGGAAAAAACGAAAATAGAGTGTTATTATAGAACGGGATAATTCACAAACAGGAATAAGCGTAATTCAATTCTACTTCATTGGATACATCGTGAACGTTTAATCGCATATTTCTATACAATGAAATGAAAACAATGGCCATTTTTAGCTTCTGGCAATAACTGCAGCCAGAAAATGATGTAAATTTATTCATGTGGGCAAAGTTCTGTGTAAAGTTAATTTCTAAGAGTCATTGAAGTAGCTGTTATATACTATATTACATATAACATCAGTAGGGAACCATAACATATTTTCAATAGTTCAAAGAATTATACTACAATATTGGTCCTGAATATATTCTCAATACTTATCTTTAGATATTTCATTCGTTTTGGGGCTAAATGCCCTATCACATCCATATTACGAAATATACAATAACTTTGTAGATAATTATTATCGTCATCATCAGCCATAGTTTATCCACTGCTGGATGAAAGTCTCCCCACTCCGTCACAATCTCTTATGGCCCTGCGTTTCCAGTCCTGCACATAACTGCTCTCATCACTCTCACTTCTTTGTGGTCTTCTTGGGTGTGTTCTATCCATTGGCTGCCGTTCCATGACCAGTCTTGTCCATTGGCCATAATCCTTTCGAAACGCGTCTCCTGCCCGAACCCATTTACTTATCTTAACACATCAATATTGTCTCTGATAATTGCATTTGTTCCCTGACCAAAGTGTTCATATTTCTGTCTCTTGGTGTGATCATTCGTGTATTTGCCACTTCTTCATGCAATTTTAAACCTTGTCAGCGTTCAACGTTTTTGATCCAAACAGTATATAGGTGGCAATATGGACAGATTGAAAACTTGCTGCTTCAGACGCCACGGCATGCTGTGACTCATTATCGCGCTCGCTTAAAAATAAAATACTTCCTCCTGCTCTTTTTCATCTCTTTTTTTATTTCATAATTTTGATTCCAATCATCTTTCAATAATTTACAACTGCGATTTCCATTTGCGCCTTTACAAATTTTTTTTTTTACATTTGATTGGCATCGTAAAAATAGTATTCGTAGACATATTAGTAGTACGATGACCTGCCGGGTTGCTGCTGTGTTGTGATGGTGATCACACTGCACTTATCATACAGACGTCGCCGGCTCGATCTCCCGGCACGGCAGTAGAAACAATGGGTACGTTTCTTAAACCCCCCCCCCACCCCCTCTCACGTCTGGCCAGCGAGAATAGTAGGCCAAAGGATGAGTCGAGGACTCTTTAGAACATCCTCTAGTGGAGGCCGCCCCACCAGCAGTTGTGTGAGTAAACAATTGTGGGCCACAATTTCCTGGTTCTTTCGGTAAAGTCACGTAGAAGGGAAGTAATACAATAATAAAAATAAAACATAATAAAATAATTCTCACGACGTTTCGGCCACAGACAGCGTCTGAGACAGACCTGGTCTTCACCTGAGGACGGCTGCTTGCGTTGTGGCCGAAACGTCGTGAGAATTATTTTATTATGTTTTATTTTTATTATTTTATTACTTCCCTTCTACGTGACTTTACCGAAAGAACCAGGAAGATGAATCCATGCAGTCACGAAAGCTTTAAATCGAAAAATGTGGGCCACAACTTTACTTTATTACCCGAGTACAATGTATATCTGTGTAGCTCATCGGATTATTCTAGGTTAAATACATATTCTGATGAACACACGTTGCGTATTGCGACCGTGTCTTTGCCTCATAGTCATGCTGCTTGCACAACATCTGGAGCATTGTTAACAGATAGTCACGTGTCAAACATTGCATGGAAATTGCCAGTGCAGCTATTCTCACCTAGTCTGGAAAATTACTCGATTATTGGCTTCGCGTTGAAATGTATGCTGTACAATACATTGTTTGTGCTTTACGTTGGATGCATTCAAGAGGAGCGTGTGGAATATTAACCATCTGGCTACCAACGTGTTGTGTTCTCCCAACTTAAGAGGGATTATAATCTTTTATAACGTCTCAGGATTCGTGATCAGCGTATTCAATGTCACCGCTGATTTTAACTGGTGCACATCAATATTTAGATTTTTTTTTAAAGCGATATTTAGAACTCACAATACACATCCATATGAGCCGTATACACCATGTTGACAGTGATGTTCAACCACCATACGGGGCAAAATAAAATGTTTACAAATAAGTCACGTGAAGGGAATTTGGAAAAGGCAGGAGATCCGATTGAGCTGTAGTGAGATTTTAGCCAGAAGGCTAGGGTTAACCCCCCTGATCTATTGAAGCAGCTCACATGATCTGTGATGTTCATACTCTCTATTGGGTGCACATATCCTCGCTTCGCATTGCGTATCGTCTGTAAGATGGTTCCTTCTGGAGCGTGGCACCCACCGCTTCAGTAATGCAAACACCAAACAATGAAAAGCAAAGTACAGAGGCCATACTGGGCAAATGGAGGAACGTGAAACCTGTGAGCGGGCAGCACACACACTCGCAAGACTAACTCCACTTTACACCAACTCAACGCATCCATCAATAACAATGCCCCCAAAAAGGAAAACAATTATAGAATAGGTGACGTTTTAGGCAATGCCCTTCTACTTAGCATGATGGCGAAACGTTATTTTTAATTTGAGGGCAGTGTTATTGACGGATGTGTAGAGTGTTGGTTATATGTGCTGCTCCCTGTGCAGGATAATACCAGCTATTTTACACATATAAAAGCGAATTATCTAACCAGCTCGTTAGCTCCAGCCTTACCCCTAACTCTCGCCCCATGTCTGGGGCTTAACACTGCCCTGTTTTGACTTTGTGTTTGCTTTTTAATTTATGTCAACGGAACAGTGCTGGGAAATTGGTTACATCGGAGCAGATGCAAGAATGTGCAGCATATTAAGCATCGCATGCCGTTCAACCACAGCAGCTTAACACAGCATTAACACGACAGCTGGCCTGCATAGTATAATGCACGCTTTAATGGATTAAAATCGATTATCGTATGCAAGATACATTCGTTAAATTAAGCATGTAGGTATACTTTTGTAGGGTACAGGCCTAACCTCGCCGAACGCGGTGGTTACATCCCTAGAAGATGCCGCGTTGGGCAAAACCGCGTTCGAGGAATAATAGACCTTAAGTAAAAAGCAGGGTTGCGGTCCTGGTTCCGAAATGATCACCCCCTCCCTCTTTCTTTAACTAATGTTATTGTACTAAAAAATGTAGATTCGCTGTCCATTTCTGCTTTGTGTGTGTGTACACACTTAGTTTTCAATTTCACCGCAACACAAAACCCCCGTCTCTACTTCTATCCCACACCGCGGTTCTCAGGGCCAGCACTCTCCCCTGACACTGAATTCTCAGCCTGACTATCGTTCCTAACACAGTCACTTGAACGTTAATAATTCGACATCTAGACGTCCGTATGACTAACGTCCTCATTCGTCAATGTGTGAACATTTGCGTTCTTGCTGTTGTCGTTGTCTTGAGAGCGTGTTGACGATTCGCCATCTAGGTGTAGTGGCATAGAATAGTAATGTAGCAGCATAGCGCTGGCTGCTGGCAGGGAAGGGGATCTGCGGCTTACGGCAGCCCTGACATCAGCAGGCCACGTGATACACCAGAGGATCTCGCGGAAAGGTCACAGAAAGGTCACAGAAGGGGCACACCAGGAACCCGCTGGTAGGTTCTAGAAAGGGGGCGTGGCCAGGGGCGGTGCCAGGCCACGTGACAGTATAAGAGGGGCCCCTGGAGGGGACCTCGGGGCTGTTGATTGTAAGTGGGATCCCGCCGTGCTGCTCAAGTCCATCGTCACCATTCTTCTCTTAGTCGCCGCAGGCGTCGTCGCTTGATATTGCGCTGTTATATGGTTGTTGGCGGTATCGGTCAGCACCATCGGTGTTAGACGGCTAGTGTGGTGTCTCGGCGAGGGTGTGTGTAGCCTATGTAGGGTGTGTGAAGGGGGATTGTGAGTATAATAAAAGTGGCTCCAAGAATTACTGCCTCCGAGTTGAACCACTACATAGGTATCCGTCTGACGTCTGCAACGAGTGGACGGCTAGATGTGTTCGCCAATGTGTAAACACTTGTGTTGTGCGCGTTGAGTGTTACATTATCACGCAAAAACATGCACAAGATACACATGGTAAATAAACAGCTCTCACAGTCGATTCATTCACACATCCCAACAGATGCACCACTCTAGGAGTCTTACTTTTTGACGCAGAGATGAGATTAGCCGCATTAAACCGCGTGGAGTCGAAACATCACCCCCATGTTCCAGAAAACAGACCTCATTAGGTAAACCGTGTATAGCCGAAACACGCGTTCAATGAAGCCGCATCGGGCAAGGCTTTCCTGTATATGTAAACCATATAAAACATATTTCTTATTACTTCTAGGACAATCGAGCGAACAAATTATAGATAAGAAACAAAAATGAGACGCGTTACAAACCAGATAATTACACGAAAAAGTTTAAAACCACAAAAAGCAATGTGGTTTAAATTGAACCACGACCCTGGATCGTGTCCGTGTATTGAACTGCTGTAGAGGTGAATCATCACGTGTCAGACAGCCATCGTTCTTCTTAGGTTCCGCGTTGCACAGCAATATAGGATGTCTGGACATTTGGCTGCAGGATATTAAAAATTGTAATCTCTGATGATGAAAGTGCAATTCTTAGTGGCATGACGGTGACTCCATGCTAAGCTGATCACCAGTCTGACACTTCTAATATTACACCACCTTAGTGGGGCATTTTAAGGTAGGTAAAAGTAAGCATTACTTGTCAAGTACTGCACTTCAATTTTCCTAGCTAATTAGCCGAGATAGTAAGGTTATTATGCAGGCCGTCACAGTATAATTGCCTTTAATGCCATGCTTGCCTAATATTTCATTTATATATGCCACCAGTGGAGGCAGTGGTACATGCTGGGGCCTCAATATCCCCAAGATTGCCTCTGGATACCAGTCCTGTAATTATGCCATCTCACATTGTTTTTAACGTTATCTGTATTGTCCCATTAGGTCAACTCTGCAGTCAAATGTTCCAGATATATATATATATTTTACACAGCCTAGTATTACTATGGCAACATAAATTTCTGCCCAATGAGGTGCACTGCGTTTGAAAATTGAATCAACGCTCTGGATAAATTATCTTGATGATGCCCTCAGAATAACATCAATTTTTCATGACATATGACCACCACCGCCGGTGCACTGAATGCGTCGCAAAACTTAATCTTGCATTTCATGAGAAGACATCGGGCTAATGTTAAATGCTTAACCTGACGAGGTTGGCATTTGCACCATCATACACCCGTACTTAAAGCAATTATTGCATCAAGTTCGATGTGATTGAGAAGCACAGCAATTTAATTGTTAATTAATATCATAATTACCTTCATTTCTGCAGAGAAACCTCTCCGCTTGGTGCCTTACGAATTGAATTACTCGTAATGTAATGTTGCCTAAACTGCACACTGTGTACCAAATTACTGCCCTGGGTCTAATGCTCCCTTTCCATCGATTAGGTGTACACTGGCCCTTTAACAAATCTGAGCCTGTTTCAATCATTACAGCTCGGACAGAGGTGGTTCTGGGGGCCTTCGACGAATACAAATTAGACGCCGACGCCACCTGCAAGGCTAGTCCGACCACCACACCAGCAAGTGCATATCTCCTGATCGATGCAATAACGAGGTTACATCACAGGCACGACAGACTGTCAAAGTATTGATCAGAGTGACTGACAGATAACAGACATACGCATTCCGTGCATGGTGGCCTCTTGGATTCCGAAGGTTACTCCCTTTCATAGAAATCTCCGACCGTGGCCACATTGATTTTGTCAATGTTTCCGAAGGCACGATCACCCTTTTTTTAAGGGCCCATTCATTATTTAGTAGTTAATATTTCATTTATTAAAAAAAAACAAAAATCTTTGTCTATATGCTACGAGTGCTTTCGCATTCTAGCAGATTAATATTTCATGGCATGCTGGAATATTAACCTACAATACACTGGTGCGTGAAAAACCCCACATGCTGGAAACTGCCAGAGCGTGGAAGCAAATAAAGGTTATGAAGTAGTGTCTGTCGACAAATATTTCACACAAGATAAAGGGACTAAGTGTAACTTAGAGAGGGTTTTAGTTGAAAGCTGCTGAGTAATGGCTCTAGCACTCAAGAGCATTGTGAATAAGGAAAGTTTGGAATCCAAATCTTTTTGTATGCAGTAGCATCTTATTACACCCATACATCTTGCTGATTTCAGGCCCAAAGTGTCCCATCAGTGAGTGTTCCATTTTGCTGCTTGTATTTCCACGCATCTGTAAACCCTGTTGGGTGCAGATAAACATACACCATGGACACCATACATACCATGCATACATGTGGTTACGGTGGTGTGCACGTGTGGGGAGCGGTATTGTGGCAGTTATCGCGCTGTGCTACGAACCAGGCTATTATCTGAACTGGTCCTGGGCCTCCCCGACATCAATTCAGCCTCAAATGAGTGCCTTGTGCAATATGTAAACATCGCTACTAAGGAGACAAAGGCGGCCGGGAGTGATTGCTGGCCACTCACCCCCTTTGTGTGCCGTGCCGGCCTTCATAGGTGCTCGCTAACAGCATTTGCTCCAACAGCCTCTTAAGGCTAAACGGTGGGCTCTTTGTGCACAGATACATGCGCAGTATGTAATAACAATTTTCATACACACATCTAATATGCACGAGTGCGAAGTGCAAATCCATTCCCATTTTTCACTGCTGAAATAAACGATCATTAATTTCCGGGTGAAGAGACACAAATAGAATTTATATCCAAGAGGAACAATGCTCACAAAACAATCAATTGTCTTACACGCCCAACGCCTAATGTTGGTGCTGATATTACAAGTGTATTGCAAAAAAATATATCTTTGTAAAACACAAGCGTACAGGATAAAGCATTTAAATTACAAGAGCCTGATTTTTATTCTTTATTGTGTGTGTGTGTGACCAGCAATACTGTCAGCATAATTTCAGAAAACTACATTTAATTTGGCAGCAATAGCCAACTCAATGCCCCAATACCCTGGTGGCAGCATGCCATTTCGAAATCAGTGCCCCCTGCCCAATCTGTGTCAAGGAGCCAAATCCCAAACATAAATCTCAACTACAGCAGCACTGCTGATCCAATGCACTCACAAGAGCTCAACTATATTTGAGCACTGCCTTGGGAAACGATATGGAATGTTAATACAGTTTTTTTTTGTTTTGTCTATTGATGCAACGTCGAGCTGGTCCACAGCCCACAAACCCGTGGTGCCAGACAATTACAATAGTCCGCAATTCCCCATGGCCACAATAAACATTGCGTGTACTTTCATGCCAATGTCCGAGTCACTTGCTTAACAATTGCAAAGCCTCTGATGCAACATGCATAAGTACTTGTCCTGTCAATCCGAACGTTAATGAAAACAATGAGTGAAGATGTTTTTTTTTTAAATCAGGCTCCCATTTCAATAATGAAAACTGTGAGACATGAAGACAATGTTTAAACAATGATATTCATAAATATGCAAATCACTTTTTGGATGGTTAATACACTTCTATATTTCATACATCACTATTATTCACTTACTCTTTGGTTCTTTCGGTAAAGTCACGTATAAATCTTTATACAAAGAGTAATTCTTGCAGTCACGAAAGCTTCAAATTTATTATTCACTTGTTTATCTAGGAAATCCTCACCGAGTTCCATTCCTTCTTTTCAGGAAGGTCCTGCCAATTTTTGCGATGTGTATTTCTAAATAATTAATTTGCAGGTAATATTTCGGCATTGGGAGTTTTGGCCAATGCCAGTTACATTGCATTTTTTTCCGGAGTCAAGTGGAGTTTAGAGATTACATTGTCACATCACAAATCATGCTCTTGTCTTTACGTGATTTAAGCTCAATTTGGTTAAAACATTGAGCAAGATATGAAATGGTGGCTGTTTACCGATGTGAGTGGCTGTGTGGATGTGTGTGCACACAAGTATAAATGTAATTTGGTATCTGTCAATGCAAGTACGTACCCTGTAGCTCATGCCAGAACACTGGAAATGAGCTAAGAATTGTGCCTATGCACTACACGCACCATATCCCAAAATTACAATAGAAAAAGGAAGATCGTATCTGAGAAGTTGCATTTCTCAACCGCAATCATGTTCCCCCATGGTGCAAAAGCCAATATATTGTGTGCTAGGGTTCTGATACATCAAATATATCCTACCATTATGCCAGTAAAGTCGACAGCAGGCACTTTCGTGATGGAATTGAATATATGACAAAAAGCACTGCTTGTAAAAAAAACACAAAATCCTGAGATAGCTAGTGATATTATAAGTCTAAACCCTCAAAACCTAGCTGGCACAACAAAGCATGGATTACATTTATGCTCATATTTTTATTCAAATAGCTCTCTTTGCCCGCTGTCCTGCTGGCTTTCCGTTTGTACTCATTGTAATGTTATATCTAACGATGCATAATTGGCAGGCAGATTACAATTAAAAAATAATTAGGCAAAGGTTGTTTGAGGTATCGTTTTTTTGGAATTCCTTAACTTGTTGTGTCCCTTGATCTGTGGAGCATTTATGTTGCTATCTTTATTGAACATCTGGAGACCCTTACACGACATGTTGTTGACTTTATTGTTGTGTCACAAATCATTTTCTTGTCTAAATGTGATCGTACCTTGCTGTGAGCGTGGGCGCAAAGCTGCGCTAGGCCGACTAAATTCCTTCCGTTGTCATATATTAACAGAAATTATGTGATTTTATCATTTGGTATACAATGGCATGCCCATTAAATTTTGGTCAATATCAACAGTGCTTTTTTTTCCTTCCGCATTGCGTCGGGTCTGCAGGGATGTATATTGAATAGCTGTTTAGTTATTCCCAAATGTGTCTTGGCCTCCATCTGTTGGAATAAAAGTGCCAAGGCAATGCTTTAGAATTAACAGAATCTGCCTCATGAAGTCAGTGAAAAATATATATCAAAGTCTATTTAATTTAATGACAAAACTGTAGTTAAATGGTATGGACTTCCATTTTCAACCAATAAAACGTGATAGAGCACCATTAAAAGTGAATTTTACTATGTGTTTTCATTTATTCAAAACCATGAAAATTATTCACTAGATTGCCTATGTCATTAAACATCCGCGAAAATGGGAAACAATATATCTGCAATAACATTTGTTAAAGAAAAAGCATAGCTAATAATTTTAATCTTCAAAAATAAATGGTGTGAGTCTTCTTGCATAACGTGACGAGATTATTTTGGCAATCCATTTATAATTGTGAATATCTATACATCTTAAAGCGACGACGCGCAACAGAAACATCCTGGATAAACCAGCAAATCTTCCAGAAAAAAACACCGTATTACAACGCTGTGTGCAAAAATCCCAGTGTGATGCAAGTCAAACAATAACAACCATAAGACAATTTTGATTAAAGTTATCAGGCCAACTCCGCACTTCCGCAAGAAACATGGCTTAACCATATGTTTTCGAAATCACCAAAATAAAGCTATAAAATACAATGCAACAACCGTAATCATAGGAACTTTGATTAAAATTTTACAATAAACGATATACAATCACATGTACGACCAAACTTGCAGCCATATCTGGCAGCATGACACTCCCAGTGTATGATGTGTGAGTGAGTCAGTGGTAGTGTGAGTGAGTGTATGATGTGTGAGTGAGTTAGTGTATGATGTGTGAGTGTATGATGAGTGAATCAGTGTATGATGAGTGAATGGGTCAGTGGTTGTGTGAGTGAGTGTATGATGTGAGTCAGTGGTTGTGTGAGTGAGTGTATGATGTGTGAGTGAGTCAGCGTATTATGAGTGAGTGTATGATGAGTGAATTAATGTATGATGAGTGAATGGGTCAGTGGTTATGTGAGTGTATGATGTGTGAGTGAGTCAGTGTATGATGTGAGTGAGTCAGCATATGATGAGTGTATGATGTGTGAGTGAGTTAGCGTATGATGAGTGAGTGTATGATGAATCAGTGTATGATGAGTGAATGGGTCAGTGGTTGTGTGAGTGTATGATGTGTGAGTGAGTCAGTGTATGATGTGTGAGTGAGTCAGCGTATGATGAGTGAGTGTATGATGAGTGAATCCGTGTATGATGAGTGAATGGGTCAGTGGTTGTGTGAGTGTATGATGTGTGAGTGAGTCAGCGTATGATGAGTGAGTGTATGATGAGTGAATCAGTGTATGATGAGTGAATGGGTCAGTGGTTGTGTGAGTGTATGATGTGTGAGTGAGTCAGTATATGATGTGTGAGTGAATCAGCGTATGATGAGTGAGTGTATCACGGCATCCTCCACGCCATCGCGGCCTCCTCCACGCTATTGCGGCTTCCTCCCCGCCATCGCACATGCACATTCACCAGCACTAAAAATACCATACATAAGCCAGATAATGAAACACATCCAACTATAAGTGAACTAGCCATGATGGCACTTTATTAATGTAGCCTGTAGTTGTGAATGATTAAATCAATAATTTAAAGTATGTCAAATACAACATAATCCCATGGTGCCAGGTGAGAGCACATTAAAAAAGCTCGTCTTTTTTACGAGATTGGGAAATATATGCAATATAGTTATATGATTTGAAAAAGGCAAGGTAATAAACTGCTAAAATAATTTCATGAGTTTGTAAAATTCCGTACATAAAGTACAAAATACATATTATACAGCATTGCCTCAATTCGCTGCTGGATAAAGGTATCCCCTATGTCATGTCGGTCACAGAGGTTTGTGTGAACATACTTCACCACGCTGGTCAGTGTGAGTTGGTAAAGGAGGGACCTAGAACCGGCTCAGACCATCACCTCGCCACTGATTCTTAGCTCTGAAGTTGCCGAGTTCATAGCATGAGCCATTGAACCACGACGTAACCCCCGCACAATACATTACGTAAAGTTTTGTGTATCAGCCTTGAACGGAAAAGTGTAAGAAGATTAAATATCAGAGTGGATGGAAAACAGATAAAACTGGCGGTAGAGTTCAGGTTTGTGGGTAGTAATTTCACAGAATATGACAGTTGTTCTAAGGAGATTAGAACTCGAATTGTCATGGGCATAGCGGCATCCACCAAGTACAAAGTGCTGCTGATAAGATGGATGAGTACAGCATGACAGAAGAGACTCACAAAGAGCCTAGTACGGAGTGTGGTGTTATATTCAACACAGACGTGGACATTTATAAAGTAAGACATCGTGTATTATACTTCCCTTGACCAAAAAAAGGTTATGTCGCAGCCTCTACTCCAGCCAGTCACTCACACGAGTCCATGGCTCCGGTGTGGAGCAACCAGGTGTGACGGGGCCAGGAGTGCGACATCCAGGTATGACGCAGTCAGGAGTAATGAGGCCAGGTAGCTTGACACTTCTCCCCGACACTTAGTCCCCACTGCGCACCTTGACTTTACACACAGCTGTAGGGTGGCATGCGGCCAAACCTCTCACTGATCAAATGTTTGATGTTTCTTTGACCGGGCACTCAACACTGCTATTGTGTTGAAGGAAGACAACAGAAAGATGGATTTTTATTTGGATGTATGTGTCGCATAAAATGAAGCAAATTAGCTGGACATAAAAAAAATAGCAAAAGGCTTGAGCAGGTTCACAAAGAGAGACATTTAATTCTAATTAATAAAATGCAAAATAAATTTGGATTGGACGTATTGCCACGGTGAAGACTTGATGAAGGAAGCTTTAGAAGGGTTGAAAAATGAATGTTGCTCGGCAACTTTAATATTTAATGACTAATTGATGAGTAACGTGTAAGATGGGATAGGATGGAGGAAACTTGATATAAGAACCTGCCCTTCGGCAGATAGTTAAATAAAAATACGTTTGCCATTAGCATTTGTTTGAACAGGGCAGCCTTTGTCCAGTTTCAACTTCACGCTTCATCAGCATGCCTTTTAAACTAATGCCAATGGAAACTTTAATGTTCTTACGGGAAATGTTTTATCTAATTTCAGTGTCATCAGTGATTAGAAGTTAATACCACTGGGTGCCTTTAGGTTACTGGTAGGAGACATCAGAAAGCGTTTCAAATTAAAGTCTTATCAGAAAAGTGCAGCCTCACGAACCAATGCTGGTGGTTATAGCCTAAAATTAATATTCCAAATTTATCCTAAAAAACTCTTTGCTATGCCATGCTTGACACTATATGAAACTATTTTAATAGAGAAATAAGGTGCATTATTGTATCACTATTAAGCAGGAGGATATGACCAGCTATGAGATACAGATCAGCATCATGGACAATGACAAAGAAAAGGGTAAAACTGAAAGTAAACAAAGAGATTCATGCTTAAAATTACTTCAAGTCAGAAGGAGTAACACATAGATCAGAGAAGAAAGGTAAGTTAGAGGCTTCACTGACAAAACTTGGTCCAAAACTCAATGGAGAGGTATATGGTAATGCAATTGGAAACATCTTTTATAGGAGTGTTGGCCATTGTCACATTTTGCTTTAGCGTGTTTGTTGTGACATTTCATCTTAGCAAAGTTCATCACTTAAAAATGGACTAGTGGGACTCGAGTGGAGACCCTTCCGTCAGCAGTAGGGGTGCACAAGTAATTGCAGGGTCACACCTTTACCCTTTCTTTGCAGCCCCAAGAGTTATTTCTTTTACTCATCACGCCATACCTGTCAATCCCTTTTCAGTGCCTACCTTATTACAGACCATTTCAGACCGTATTGGTCACCCCGTGCCCTTATAAATCTCAACGTTCATCCTACAAAATCCCATCACAAGGGAAAAACACAAATAGACAATAAAAAATGCCAGTTTTGAAACGGCTGTACGTCATATGGACTCGAAAACTCAATTTCCCTGTGCAAGAATACGGGTACACCGTATGGGTTGACAGCTATGTCGTCCTATACTACCCAATTATATTCTATCGTATGACAGTTCAATAGCGAAATGCCAAAGTCGAAGTCTGCTCGCCATGGGAGGGCTTTACGAAAGAGTTTGTGTCGTTTTGCAAATTCTTTCGTTAACTATACACTTTTTTTCTAATTTTCTTGCTGTGGTTTTCACACCTGATGATGATTGCTTGTGTTGCAATCGAAACTTCGTGAGAATTTTGTTTTATATTTTTATTATTTAATTGTTTCCCTTCTACGTGACTTTACCGAAAGAACCAAGAATACACAGCCTGCGACTTTTAAATTTTCCATTCATGAAGGAGATGTTGTGCATCGGCCGGTTGACGTTCTCATGCGGTTGATGACAGCAGCGGTGTCTTCGATGTTAAAGCGAAATAAACATGGACTTGTTACCCACATTAATGGGGCTTGGGCATCGAACAATGCTCAACGCATTTGTCAATAACACTGCCATTAAATAAAAAATAGGCGACTTTCGAACAATCCTTTCTCAGTACATCGCGGTGTCGAAGTCAGGCAATGCTTGGGCGCTGTGGTTGAGATTAACGAGTGGCAGTGATGTTATTAAAACACCAAACTCGTGGTCGAGGAAGGAGCTAGATCTTGTGGATCGCTGCGAAAGCCTGGACAAGAGATCATTCGCTGACGATGTTTTAAGAAAGTTTCCAGAGACGCTCTCCCCGACACCAGAGTGACGAGTGGTAACTACGAACCCTCGCAACGCAGCAGTGGATCGAGCGTGGCTGCTTGCCACAGATTGCCCCTACCGTAGTGAAAGACTGCTAGCGATAGACAGATTTTTATTGGGTTCGGTGGGGTGAGAGGAGAAGGGTAAATCCTCACGTGCAGCAGTGGACAGAGCACGCCCGCTGGCGAAGTTGACGTCGGATTGATGGCTGGGCCCCAACAGATCGCCGTTTGGAATTGGTAGCGCGCTCAGGGACGCGGTGCGAGGCAGTAGCCAATGGGGTTTCGCGCCCTCGCGGCCGCGTGGTGGGGGGGGGGGGAGCTTCAGCCAATCACGATGGCGGATCGCCTAAGCGCGCTATGGAATTGAACGCGCGTGGAACGCTTCACGACCTACTGTGTTTCTCGCCTTTTTTTTCTGCCGCTTCGGCCAAACTCGCATCGGACGCACCGTCGCGTTTATACTTCGCGGCGAGAATGGCTCAGGAAATCTCCGCCGTCTGCGAGGAGCTCATAAGAGCGCTCTACGTGGTCATGGACTCGGCGTCGACGCATCAGCAGCGTGCGGAGGCCTTGAAGGTGAGTGAGCGTACTACCCCCACACCGCCGCCGCCGCCGCCCTGTCCCGTACATGGCACGGCCGGGCTGTTCAGGCAAGGCCGGGGGGCCCGCAAAAAGCTGTAGGCCTCGCTCACTCAATGGGCCACGTTTAAGGGTAAATTTAAATTATTTTTTGTTTCTAATGCAGCAGTAAGTTATTATCAGACGCGGTTCTAGGCTTGCCAAAAAATGCATTGTTGTACTGTACCATATGTGCTCCCAAGGTAACGGGCCCCGGCGTGTAGTGTGGGTTGGGGCAACAGGGCCGACATCCAGCAGTGGATTGAGAATGTGGCAGTAGCAGCACTCCGTCTTGTCGCATGTTGGCCTCTGCCGAAGGCCATCATTGTACGTTATGCCGGCGTGGTGTGTGTGTGTGGCGTTATTGCGTTGTGTGCGGTGCACGTGGGAGTTTCTGCGTGCGAATTGCGTGGTGCTTTTGTCACACAGATGTGATCTCGACACCCGGCGCTACCTCATTCATTCGACAAATCTTTACTGGGCGCCATACGTAATGCGATTTTATGCTGACGTTCTCAGCCGTGCATTGTACACTGACGTCGTAGTATTCACGTAAAGCATTGTCGATGTGGTTACTGATAGTTTAAGTGTACGCCGTGCGTGCAGCTGAGCGCACACAATGCACACTGAGGTTTGTGCACGCGTAGTCGTTTTAAGCTCGGCTGCTCGGTGCGTGAATAGTTCACGATGAGCAACAATCAGCCAAATTCAAGCCGCTTCTGTGAAGGCACACGAGCTGATTTTATCGCACGAGTTCAGTTTAATTTCTCCATCTCCTCGGGTAGACGTCCTTTTAGACATACGTTCCATGGTTTGTCAGCCACATGTCTTGACCATGTGCCAAAGTAAGGTACACCCAATGTGCCAAAGAAAATAACGTGTATCATCAGTGTGTGTACCTCCTGTTAGTACGTGCTTCAGAAACATGGGTCATTTACAAACTAGGATAGAACAAAAACTGAAAAGTGTCCAAATAAGCATTAAGGGACGCGTGCTCGCAATTACAATGAGGGACAGAAAGTGGAACATGGATTAGAGAGGTTAATGAAATAATATAAAATATAAAAAGATAATAACGGAATGACAGCTAAGGAATAAAATGCGCCCGAGAGGTCTTTGCAGCGGAGATGGAACGATACAATCAGTTTATATGCAGGTGCTGGATGATTTGTTGCATTACAAGATTGTGAGTTATAGCGGCGCTTTGCGGAGATTTTGATCGAGCAGTGGATTGATCATAACTCATGATGGTGATGATCTGCCATTATCTTTGCGAGCAATGTGTCCTGAATTATGTCATTAACCCGGACATATCGAATCCAGTTGCTCCTCTTTAAGTTTCTCAATGCAATTCCAAGAATGAATGTCTGCATGCTGCTGATCACACTTGTATTTGTTCCATTTTCCTCGTTGTTACACGATATTTAGAAGGCGTTTTTTTTGTTTGTTTTGTGTGAACGATCCCAGTTTTGTGAAGACTTCAAACAGAACTCCCCGCAGTGCGTCCAGTGCGGAATGATGATGGCAGACAAAGACAACGCAGGCATTGTGAGACACTTGGGCCTGCAACTGTTGGAGCACTGCATTAAGTAAGTGACTAAACTAAACATTATATAAACTATTTTTTTATTTTACCAGGTAAAGCCCACTGAGCTATGTAGCTCTTTTTCAGACGCGACCTGGCCACGTATTTTAGCTCAACGAAGTGGCTGATCACATGAAAATTTCGTTCGTTAATTTATCAATCCGCTTGTCCTGGTGAGGGTCGCGGCAGCAGCATATTGAGTAGGGCGGTCCAGACCTCCCATTCCCTGGCGACAGCTTGCAGAATTCCCAGGCGTTTATAAGCCAGCCGAGAGGTCGTCGCCCAGTGGGGCATGCCCGGTAGAGTTCCAGGGGAAGTCTACCAGGGGGCATCCTTACCTGGTGCCCGTACCACCTCAACTGGCTTATCTCAATCCGAAGGAGCAGTGCCTCGACTTTTGAGGCTAAATTCTCTAAACGTATGTTTTTAAATGTGGAGGGAATAATCGGAGGACCCACAGAAAAATCCACATGACCATGGGGAGAACATGCAAACTCCCAATATACAGGCATCAGGGTCAGGATTGAACCCACGACCCCTGGATATCAGGCGAGGTCGTTAATATCTCGCCACCATGGTGCCCCCAGCAGTGGATTCTCCTGCATTGCATGTGTGTTTCATTCATGGTGTTGATGGGAATTTTTTTTTACTCCAGGTTTCGCTGGAATAACATGAGCCAGGTGGAAAAGTGTCAAGTGAAAGAAAATGTCATGGGGCTACTTTCAAAGGTATGGAGATTACAACACAATGAAAGTGTGACAATGAAGCCAAACAATTATTCAAATATATAGGTATTACTGTATTTTTTAATATTCATGATCAGAGTAAACTCTTTAGTCATGGGTTCTGGATATTTTGCAATTTGTATGTATAATTTCATAGCTCTCCGATGCATTTTTTGTACCATGTGTTGTCATACGATGTCTGTATGATGTCTGACATTCTGCCCCACTTTCTGGGAGCTTCAGGAATAAATAATGAAGAAGCTTCCACCACGTGGAGCGAAATGTCTGCAAACAAATCCGAGTCATACAGCTTGACCATCAAATTCTTGCAATGAAGTTCATTATATTAACAAATAAGTGGTTTAAGTTGTTGCTTTATTCATCTGTGTTAGGATTTTCTCAGGTATTTATAAAATAGTGACTCACTGAAGAAACCACCATTTGGAAGTGTCAACTTTTATGAAAATTAAATGTATAGGTAAACTAAGCTTTCGTATATGTGTGTACGTGTGTGTGTAGGGCACTAAACACCTTCTGGAAGAAGAACCTTACATAAAAGATGCTGTCTCACGGCTAATGGTAGAGATGATTAAACGAGAGTGGCCTCAACAATGGCCTGAGATGCTGCAAGAACTCTTCGCAACCAGCAAATTAGGCGTAAGGATTTAATTTGATATTTTAGCATACATACTAACTTTTCAAACTTATGGTTAAAAATGTTTGTTGAAGTAAATTGCACATTTCTTTGCTTTTCTGAGAGTTCTCTGTCTTACCAGTTAGTTACGCATTTCATGATACAAGATTGATGAATGATGTACATTCAGTACATACATTTACAATACATGATAATCATTAAGTACACATTTAAATAATACTGTTATACTTTCTAAAAATGAATGTTTTAACAAATTCCATCGCCTTAAAATGGCCATGAAATGGCTATGCAAATCCTATAACGGTATTTTAAAGAAATAACCATGACTGTATTGTATGATGTTCACGTTACCCCTTGTAGGAGACACAAGCGGAGCTGATGCTGCTAGTATTGCTGAGATTGGCAGAGGATGTGGTGGCTTTCCAGGCGCTGCCCCAGCAGCGACGGAGAGATATCATGCAGGCGCTTACCCACAAGAATGTGATGCTGCTGGGCTTCCTACTGGATATTCTTATAGAACACTCCAACAAATTCCAGCAACTCGTAAGTTTACCTGGCTATTCTATTCTGTTTTTATTTTACCAAGTAAGGCCCACTGAGCTATATAGCTCTCTTTGAGAAACAACCTGGCCACAAATGATAGCTCAATGGACTGGCTTAGCACGTAGACATTTATAGCAGCCAAATACTCTTAAACGCACATTTCGAAATGTGGAGGAGAAAAACCGGAGGACCTGGAGAAAAATCTACGCCACCACAGGGAGACATGCAAACTCCGGATATACAGGCGTTAGAGTTGGGATCGAACCCACGAACTTCTGTATACTAGGCATCTCGGCAAATTAATTGCAAACTAATAGGTGAAATATTCCAAAGTAATCATTATCCTATTTGTTTTTAATGTGGGATTCTTTTCAATGTATTAATTCCCCCCCCCCCAATAAGTTATTGCCAATGTTCATGTAGACGCAGCAAGCGGTCCTCAAATTATTTAAATAGGCATGCCTTTAAATGTAATCGTATTTGTCTTAAAGTCGTCATTGTCTTCACTAAATTATTTTCAAAGTATAAATTATGATTTAGAGAACAAAAATTAATCGCTTTGTTACAAATTGGGCATTAATAGGCCGTCTGAAGAATCATTATTTGGTCCTTCGTGAGAAATTGCTGACAGGATTGCATGAGCCAGGGCACCAGTATTTTGTGTTCATGTTAAAGGAAGGGATACAGGTGTAGAGGAGTAGAGGAGAGTGGTGGCGTCGTGTGCGCTGTCCGGTGCGGTGACCTCACGGGACGTGGGGTCGCACGCACTGGGCAGTGCACGTGACGTCACCCCTCCTAGGGTATTTAAGGGAGACCCCGTAACGTAAGCGGGGTCACTGGAGGAACGGGGATAGTGGAAGGGGTAAAGAGGGAACCAGGGATAGTGATAAGTGTTAATAGACCCTGGCGGAAGCCTCTAACTCAACCTCCGTCTCCGAGTACCTCCGTCTACAACTCAACAACCTCCGTCTACAACTCAACAACCTCCGTCTACAACTCAACACAGGTTGGGGGGGGGGGGGGGGGGCGGTTGGACTCGGGTCCATTTTAATATCAAAGTGCATTCAGTTTTCATTATCCTTTCCAATGCAATAAAATCATACTCCAAACTTTGGTTTATTGGACCACATGTCCTTTTGTCCTTTCCAGCATTGCCTAGTTTAAATTATCCAGAAAAATCAAATGAGTGAAAATAATTCCATGGGTACATCCATTTTCATCCGGTGCAGTTTAATATTATGAAAGTTAAGTTGGACAGAACAGGGATTCTAAGCTATGCTTTGAATTCTGACAATTTATTTTCTAATTTTCTCCAACAGAAAGACTCTCCAACAGAAGAAGCGCAAAAACAGGTGAACTAAATTTTTATTAAAATATTCTCACACTTCACTGTCATTTTAACATTGAGGCATTCACATGATTGCAAGTCTCACGAGCTTTAGTAAATGTGTTTTGATGTCGGACAGGCCACAACTCATTGCCGGGTGGCGTGCGCAACGCTTGCAACTCTTGCCGGCTTTGTGGAGTGGGTGAACATGACACATCTGGCATTTAAGGACTGTGCCCTTCTCCGCACGCTTTGCTCACTCCTGGGAGAGCCACGCTTTCAGTTGGAGGCTGCGGAGTGCTTACTGCTCATTGTTCGTCGAAAGGTAAACATTTGTGCATTCAATACATATTTTTTTTTATAATACACATCTGAGCTGAAAAATATTAATTACTGTGGTATTAAGGTCATTGGTTCATATGGTAGTACATGTGGGACAGATGGCCATTTGTTAAATTGAGTGCATAATCCTGCATCACTTAAACGAGTGATTACTTTCAGCGATGATGGATCATTACAGGTGTGCGCGGAGCGTGGGTTTTTGTGTAAAAAAAAATGCATGAAAGCAAAGGATGTTATCTGATTATGATAGATTTCGAATTTGTATGACGGGGATTACGTACATTGTTTATACATAGGACATTATTGTGGAGAGTGATGTGATGCAGCCCTGGAGCGTTGTGGAGACTGCAGAGTGCCTCCCCTGCTGCAAAAATTTTAGTCAACTCAAATATTTTTTTAAATTTATTACACCAGTTGAAATCTGGCGGTTGTCACAGCCTCTCCTCATACATACCTATGTATGAGCTAGAGCAGAATTCATTATCGACAAAATCTGATTATTTTGTTACTCATCTTGCTTAGATTTTAACAATCATTTAAAGTTCAACATTGTGTCGTACCTCCCCTGAGGTTTTGGGATGCCTCCCCTTTAAATATTTCAGGTCATGCTACAGTGTTCATGTCAATTGTTTATGTTGTGTCTCTTGACCTTTTGGGCAGGGTAAGATGGAGGAACGGAAACCGCTGCTCGTTCTATTTTCCAAGCCAGCCATGATGTCCATCCTTCAGGCCGCTGTGTAAGTCTGTTATGCAGTTACAATGCACGTGTGATCTAGACACGCATAAGTAGTGAAGTTACTGCAATTTTTTTGGTACGCTTTTCATCAAGATATATTTTTTATGGATTTCCCTCACCTCTGATGGTCAATTGATGCTGCAAACATGACCAAAATTGTCCACTTTCAAATGAACATTCTCGACTGTTGTATGTGTCACTGTTATGGTCCAAATCAAAATATTACAAATTCCTTTACATACATTTTGACGTTTCTAACTTATTGAAACACATGTTTCCACATATGCATTTATAATTATATCTTAACAGCCCCTAGTTCTAAATTCATGAATTTATCTCGCTCTGGTATGCAACTGCCTGCTCGTAAAATAAGAATAAATAATGCCCTTTTGGTCCAGCAAAGCCTCTATGTCTTGTGACTATAAAAGCCGGTGTTTCATTGCTTGGATTTATATGTATAATTTTAACACCCCCACTGTTCATGGCGATATGTTCCGATGGTCCAACCAGGTCTGCTCACGATGCAGGGCTCGAAGAGAGGCACTATTTCTTCCTCAAGCAGCTGTGCCAGGTGCTCATAGCACTTGGGGTGCAGCTCAATGCTGTTTTGGTGAGTTAATGCAAAATCGACCTCGGGGTTAAATACACTGGTCAACAAAAAAATATTTTTTTTCTTGCCTGGACTTTTGCAGCTGTTCTAGACTAATTTCAGGGTGCTGATTCCAAATCTGATCTCAGATTTGCTCTATCACATCTCATTTTATGCTATCGGCATACCCCATTTTCATTGATTTTACCCGAAATTAACTCTGTCACTTATGATTGCAAGTTGTTGCGAGTTAGTAACTGCTTTAGTGTTAAAATATGGTGCTGTATTTTTAGGATAGTGTGTTTATAGTATCATTTGATGTAGATATCCACATTTATTTAATATTTTCTTTTGCAGTTTTTATTGAAAATGCAATATTTGATATCTTAAAAACCTGATGCGATAGACAAAAACTGATGCCAGATTTGGAATCAGCACCCCAAAATTACATTACAACCGTTGGAAAACCTTATGCCAGAAAAAGTGTGTTGACCAGTGATATCATTTGAATGCGTTGTCTAAAATGCCTTTTTTGCTTGTAAAAATGTTTGCGTGTTATTTCTCACAACCCCTTTGCTGCTAGGGCGTCGATAGAAGTGTCGTGCAACCGGCAACTTTTCACGAGTATCTTCTCTCGATTTTGGCTTTCACCAAACATCCCAGTCAGGTGAGGTGAAGATGTAAGCAAACAAATACAACTCGTGCAACTTGATTCTTATATTGCGCTCAATGGTAATATTTTACAGTTCACTTATAATCGGGTTAAAAATGTTTTACCTGTCATTGGTTTTTCTTTTCAGTATCTCAGCTTCAGCACGATGAGCACATGGTGTGCATTCTTTCGCCATGAAATCATTTCTCAGGATGCTTTGCTCCTGCAAATCCTGCCACAATTGCTGGACATTTACACGACAAAACTGCTCAAGGTCAGTACAGCCTAGGGCATCTACGTTTAAAAATGTGCCATCTTTATTTATTTAGTTTCGTAACGCTTACACTTTTTTTTGGATGCTCACAGGTTGGCTTTCCTTCAAAGAATGACAGCCCAAGCTGCGAGTACTCTCGTCTGGACTTCGAGAGCGATGAGGAATACAACAACTTTTTCTCAAGTGAGATTGCACCTTCACCCGCAGCGGAAACTCTAAACATCTGTCTATGATGGAACCTCCTCCGTTGTGTGTGGTGTATACCATGACTTCGCATTTTTTTTCTTTCATACCTTGGTTAGATTTGTGAATCGTTTTTCTTTCATTTTGTATACACTTGAGTTCATTGAACCGTAGTGCTGGAAAGTGATGGCACAGCACCTCACGCACTAGACTCTCAAGCTGGTGACCAGAATTTGATTCCTGGTCACGGTGGGGAGAGAGATCTGAACCATTCCTGGCGAGTTATATTTGTATCGGTCGTGGGCCATTCTTCTCATGAACTCAACCAACAGAATCATAAAATATGGTCACACAGCTCCTATTACTAACACGGCATGGGGAGGCATTCATCCAGCAGTGGATTGACAAATGCTCTCAATTGTTATTCATATGTTTATCTTAAACATGGCTGAGCTTTATAAAATGTTGTTACGGTGTTATGTCCTACTGCTCTAATCTCCTGACCTGAGATTATTGCCAAGTTTGTTATTGATTCACCTTCCATGTGAATCAAAATGTAGTCCTCTTATTATGGAAGTCTATAAATTTACATGAAAAAATGCAGTCATTTATCGGTTTAGCATTTCAGTGAATGGTTGCATATGTTGTGCTTGTTGCAGCATTCCGAGCTCAACAAGGAGAAGGTATCCGATGGGCCTGCCGTATAGCCCCGGAGGCAACCTTCCAGGTGGCTAGCAAGTGGCTGCAGTTTCAGCTCACCGCTCCAATTGAACCAGGCACAAGTAAGTGAAAAGTGGTCGCGTCATACAAATATGAACGTGAATTAATGTTGATGGTGCATAGAATGCAGTGAAGCTCCCTCTGTTACTCGCTCGTATTGTCTACGACTCGCGTAGTTGTGGCCGCTAATAGATCAACGAGAGCTTCCGTTCACTTTATTTTGCAGGCGAGAGAATTCGCATGATAAACATGAATCCAATTTGTGTGGTTGTTTTAATCAATAAGAGGAATTGTGCAGCAAATTTGTCCCATTATCACTCATCGGAAAGTGGTCGCTGAAAACATGAAATTAATCTATTGCAAAACAAAAAATTGGATAAGGCATCACAGCAAACTTGTCCATTCTGTTATCCCTGTTTAATCGCGAGTGAACACGCGGCAAAGAGTGGTGTCACTGTATTTTCTAATTGTCCACACATTAAATATATCAAGAACACATTTGCTTATTTGGCACCGTGTACGACTGTGTTACGCTCCTGAGTGAGTTTTGACTCGTGCGTGCGTGTGTGTCTGATTGTCATAGCCAACGGCTTGATCTGTGACGACGAAGCTGGGACCTGCACCACGTACTCGCCATCTTTCATTCAGTGGGACGCTCTCAACACGTTCATGGATTGCACCATGAGCCACCTCCTCAAAGCCCTGGAGAAAAAGGGGCTGCTCGCTGTGAGGTCTTGCACTGAAAGCACAATCATTTGTACTCTGCCATTGCTTGGGGATAAAAACACGACTTTTTCCTGGCTAGATTAAATACCTGGGTGACCTTTATTATAGGCTGGTATATTCTGCAGAGTAATATTGTAATTGTTTTTAAACATGCGATTTTCTTCAACGGGATGTCATTTGTTTTGTCTGTATTTAGTGTAAACGTACGTTAAAAACACATTATAAACGTGGGCATCATAATATATCAGTTTTGTACCTGTAATAAAATAAGTTTTCTGCACAAAATTGTTATGGTGCCCTGAAAATGCGAAACTTTCATAATATGCGACCTTATCAATCCTTGCCAAACAATTCCTTCCCACCCGTATGCCCTGTCCCAGGGGAACACAACAGAGCCAGGCTTGAAAACGTGTTTGTTAGAGGGGTTGTGTTTGAGCTAGTAGATGAAGGTCAGAGGTAAGTTCCCATCTAAAGATTTTTGTTTTCACTGGCTGCCCTTTGTGTGTGTGTGTTCACACCTGCTGTAGCATAGCGATTAGCGCCCTGCACTACGAATCTGGTGATCGCCACTAACATTGGTGACGAATATCTGAACCAGTCCTGAGCCTCCCCTAGGTCGACTCGGCATCAAATGAGTACCTGGTGCGGTGTGTAAACGTCGCCACTCGGGGACAAAGGCGGCCGGGCATCATGCTGGCCACCCACCCCCTTATGTACCTTGGTGGTCTTCATCGGTGCGACCCGCCAAAGGCACTTGCCCCAACAGTCTGTTAAAGGCAATATGGGGGATCTTTGTCTTTGTCACACCTACTGCAACCTCCTCCTCGACAGCAATTGGTGGAGGAAGGCATCCGCCTGCTGAACCTGGTGCTGTCCTATGAACCCGGCGACCCGCTGGTGCTGTCATGCGCCCTCTCGTGCATGTCGACGCTCATGCCCTTCCTGTCGCATGATTCCTCCGCTGTGCCACGGGTGCTCGACAAGGTGAGGTGCCCTGCATAATCTGTCAGTGAATTTTAGCAGAGAGTTAGTGTGTTGTTTTTTGTCGTCCCTAGAATGTTGATGTGTTCGATTGTTTTAACATATAATGTGCGTTATAAACGTAATACTGGGATGCTTATCAATACTGATATGCTTAAACAATTACAGTAGTACTAACACGAAGCTCGAAATTGATTTGTCCACAGTTGTTCTCTTCCGTGACATTTTGTCAGCAAGAAGGAATCAAGGCACCTGGTGCTTTTGTAAGCCGTTACTGATCATACATTGACACACACACTCTTCACCGTTTCAGTTGTGTGGGTTTTTTTTTTCTTTCAAATAATTTTCTTTCAAAGTTGCCATAGAGTTATATTGCACTTTTTTATTTTATGTTCTAAACTTTTTCCAGGTGCCACGCAGCCGATCTGTGAAAAATGTGCGACGCCACGCTTGCTCGTGCCTCGTGAGGATCTGCAGAGATTACCCGGAGCTGCTTCTGGTACGGAAACGCCGTTCTTTGAGAGATGACCATGTCCGAGCCAGAAATCAGTTTATTTATTTATACGGGAGGAATCCGATGAGCTATATAAAGCTCTTCTTTTTTTTTATCACAGATGTGTCCAATAGGGGCACGGGGTGAGAACGTTACAACAACAAACAATACAAAAACACGATAGCAGTGCAATGTAAAGGCACGGTGAACACATCGCTTAAAAATATTTACAAATAAAGCTTTAACCCTTTTTTTATCCTACCAGGTAATGCCCACTGAGCTATGTAGCGTCTTTTTCAGAAGCGACCTGGCCACAAATGATAGCTCAACGAAGTGGCTTATCACGTGGACATTTATAGCAGCAAATAAATCTAAATAAAAAAAATCCTTACTTTTTTTACCTGAGTTTTTATATATATGTATAGCATCTACCCTATGGTGTGCATTGTGAAATTTCACATAAAGCCTCCACAGCCATAGTCTCGTTTTTTTTTCTCTGGTACTCATTAATGTTCACCTATAATTATATCTTAATATTAATAACCACTGAAATGTTTTTGAAATTATGTTTAAGCATGTTTGATGGTGTTGAACACCTCTGATCCAACGCTTTGATGGTGAAACTCCTAACGTTTCCAAGCTGTGAATTGGCTTGTAAATTACAGTTCAACAAGTGTGATAATGCACCGTTCATTGTAAATCTTTGAGTATTATTCCTTCATATGCAAGCCCCTTCAAAAATAGGTCTTCAGACTTGGCGGTGCTTTCTTAGATAAGTAAATGATATTGTAACGTCTCATAGTTCAAACACACCTTTGAATTCCTCACTCCTTTATCATTCAATGTAACACTTTGAAGGCTATCTTTTCAGATGGCATATAAAGAGCTGATATGAAATTACAATAAAGATTCGAAGACTCGCGCAATTATTTTTAGTTTTAAATGTTTCCCTCGTTTTGTGCTCTGCGCATTGTATTTGCTCTGCAATAAATTCCTTTTGAGTAAACTTACGTGCCGCGTAGGAGGCGTGGTATGAACAATGACGACAATGATGGTTCAATGTTTAAAATGTGCCCGTCGCAGCCGTGCTTTGAGAGTTTCTGCGAGCATCTCCTGCGCCTGCATAAGATGGAAGGCATGACCCAGCTGGAGCGAGTCGCCTTCATGGAGTGCCTCGTCATCATCAGCAACAAGCTATGCAACTACGATCGCCAGCGTGCCTTCCTGGAGCAGATGCTGACCACCCTCATGGCGTTGTGGATGGAGCCTGACATGCAGCAGTGAGTGCTGCTTCTTGTTGGGTTTCCCAGGCATCGTATTTGAGTGAGACACTTGCGTAGATTCTATACGTAGAAGGACCCTTGTAGAGTAAATGGGGCATTCGATAACACGTTCATTTCATAACTCTTAAAACAGGTGCATTGCGTGGATAAAGATCGAGTAACATTAATTTACAGTCCTTTTGACAGTCCACTGGTGGACAAAGAAGACCTCCCCCACCCCATATTGTTCGTGGTAACTTTTGTTATCTTACTTCTCAATGGCAGTCGGTGTGAGTTGGTGAAGGGGGTTGCCCAGAACCGGTTCACATATTCACTCGCCACTGATGTTGGCTGTGACCAGGCGTCAATATTCCGGTCTCTGAGTTTATAGCGCAGCGCACCAAAGACCGCACACACCATTACCGCACCCAACTATATTTAGCTAAGTTTTTATTTAAAAGGAGTAAAACTATCGAGTTAACCATCAAATTATCATTGGGTTTGTATCGGTGCTGTCATCATTTTTGGTTGCCAGATTTTATAGCGTACCATTGACAAGAGGGTCAAGATAACATAATGTAGCTTGTTGGAAATATGCTGGCATAGCCACAATCCTGTTAGAATAAGTAATATTTCCCATCAACTGATTTGATGACTGACATATAAGTAATACCCATGCACAGTGTAGCGTGCTCCCTTTATTGCTGGGTTGATTCATTTGCCACACCAGAACTTTATTGATTATATACTAAGCTAAATCTCTTTGTTGGCTTCCTTGGAAATTGAGCCTTCCAGAATGCGTAAAAGAGAAAACGGTCATGCGTTGTGTTGTACCTAAGTGACTGGATACGCATCGGAAGGACACACTTGGTATTACGGCTCGCCGCATGATTAGTTAGTTAGTCGACCGGCAGGCTGTGTGTGGTGGGATAAAGTGTGGCTTACTCCCACCTCTTCCAAGATGTTTGTCTCGCGTAGAAGATTTGGCCAAATACCCTCCAAAGGGGCTCTCAAAAACGCCCCTCACGGGGAGACCCTTCCGCCAGTAGCGGTGTGAGCAAGCAATTTCAGGGCTGCACCTTTACCTTTCATATAATGGGATATGTGTCCTTGCGGCTTACGCCTGGCCGCCTTTATTATTTTCGCCCCAGCGGTTATACTGGGTGATAAAGTCTGGCTGCAGAGACCTCCATCTAATTCTCTGTCTGAAAGCGAAAGCCTACCTTACTGTAATGAGGGTGCAAATGCAGTGCATAGCACAGTGGAGGACCCATACATTTTACTCAACTAGATTGTGTTAATATTTAACTTAACCAGAAACAGATGTTGGTGCTTAAAACGTGTAGGCAATATGCGGAGGCACATCTGACGTTGTGGGGCCTGTGCATAAATATACACTGGTGCACTCTTTTATGCTTCACACCTGTACCCAGCCCACCTCCGGACCCACACGGACTTGCGTGGAGAAGCATGGTCAAATCCCCATGACCTGTATGGCGTGAGGATGCACACACTCGCCCTTTTGTAGATTTGCATAACCGTTGTATATTCTTTGGAATGTACATAAACTTAACTGCATAGACGATTTAGGTTATGTTGTATCATTACACACTTGGTGCTTTCGTTTTGCACCTTCCTCTCCAACAGAGCCCTGTGGAGCACAGATGGATTTTTGGCGTACTTTGGATTGGACAAGAGCATTGTGCCGGATGGAATGGAGGACATCGCAGGCCTTCACCGTGGTCAGGTACTTGGTCTTGGACCAAAAGTATTAAAAAGTTGCTTTACGACCTCTGCTCACATGCAATAATGTACCTCTTTTTGAAAGTGATTAAACTAACATTTTACATGCCATGTGCTTAATTTTCACATGGAAAAAAAAATTGCCATTTTAGTGCTTTGTTGTAGAAATTACCCTGCGCTCATTACTGATCAACTAAAGTTTCAACTATCGACGGCCCAGCTCGCAGTTATATTAATTTGAGAAAAACACATCTCCAATGTAAAGTGAGAATTTACACAACCGTTGTTTGCAGGTGGAATTGTTTCCTGCGTGGTTTAGGGGGAAAAGACATCCCATTGCATGTGTGGGAGGTGCTGTTTCTGTGCACAATGCCCGGCGAGCGTTGTCAAGGAATCGTTTGTCGTGCCTTTGCAGCTGGTGTACTGCATGAACATGATGTGCATGCTGGTGAAGCGAGCCAGATGGCCGGAGAGCATAGAGGAGGCACAGGCTGGCGGTTTCGTGGTTGGCGAAACGCCCTCGGGCGGCCCTGTCTATCGCAACGCGTGCTCCCAGTTTGTTTGCAAGATGCTGGAAAACATGCTGACACTCTCCAGGTGAGGCTTCGTGCACGTCAAGTCGCACGCAGCGGGTAGTTACACCGGATGCAAATGCTGTGGACGTCACGTGTTTTGTACGCCCGTGACCAAATCACCAGAAATGCGCCTGATCTAATGGATCTCAGAAGCTAAGTAGAGTTCAGCCTGGATAGTGTGCTTGCTTGGGTGACAAACTTACGTAAACAGGTGTTCAGGATGCTGCAGGGCTACTTTGTTGACAGGAGAGAGGATTTAAACAAAGTCCATTGTTGGACTGTACTTGTATGTTCCCACGTCAGTGCTCCCTGTCTTCACCAACCTGCACTGACCAGCATGGTGAAGTAACATGAAATAACCCCCATTACCCCCACTTTGTGGGGATGCCCTCATCCAGCAGTGGTTTGACAAAAGGATTGTACAAGTGCACATGTTTATGGTGTAACAGGATATGAAAGTTACATTATTTATCCTAAGACCAAGTATAATTAAACTTGTACAGATAGGCACACAATAGTCATGCTGTGTGGGCCCAGTTTTTTTAATAATATGGCTGTGATTAGTGGCAAATGCCACTGCTGGTACAGTCTTATGCTTGCATTTCAGTATTCAAAAGAGAATAATCGTTTTTATGGAAAAAGCTCATCAAAAGTTGAAGGATGTGCCCGTCTTTCTATTGATCATGAGCATTACTTCACCATACTTCACCACGCCAGTTAGTGCGCGTTGATGAAGGGGTAGCCCAGGTCTAATTCGGATATTGCTCATGCTCTGATGTTAGCTGGTGCCAGGGATCAAACTCAGGTTACCGAGTTCATAGCAGAGTGTACGAACAACCGTGCTCACCATACCACTCATTCTTGGCGAGCTTGAAATATATATATACTTTGTATATATCAAAACATTGCTGAAATTCTGACATTACCAAACTAAAGCACGCATTGCAAATGCAGCTTGCAATACTTGATATATAGTGTATGCCAATATAAATGTATGATAGCATAAAACCTTCTCGGTTCAATTACTTCATTGGGTAAAAAAAAAAAAATCGAATTTCCTATATTGCAGTGCATGGCCAATAACCTATAGTATACTGAAGGTCACTCTTACATAATTACATTTCTCACACTGTTTAGCCATTGGTGCCTTATGGTGGGACACATAGGCACGACACCCAACAGCTGTTCTGGAAACAGCATCCATACTCTGTGGAATTCCAACAGTGTTTTGATTAAAAAGCATTTGGAATGTGTTGTATGTGCGCCTGTGTTGCAGGACTTTTCATTCCTTCTGGCTACCGGAGCAACGTGCCAAGTTAAACAAGGACTATGAACTCGCATTTGAGTGCATGGAATCGGAAAAACATAACCTGCTAGGTTGGTGAATGTGTGCAATTTATTAATTGTTTGTGTGCCTGACCGAGACCACAGCAAAACATGTTTATTGTTATAATTATGAGCTATCTTGCAACAATACCACATGGGGAAAATGTTCATTGTTCAGCTTCTTCGCTGCATCACAATACAGCAGCTCCACCTTTTTTGATTGCCAGCCAACCTTGCCTGCAGGCTTGAAGGACACTAATCAAGATGGGATGATCATAGGTTTTATCAAACGTGTTCTATGTAATCATGTCGCGCGATGCTGTTCAAAACTCTAATTGGATACATTTAATGTTAATTTAGTTTGTGCTTTGAGTTATTGCATTATTGGTCCAGACTAGACAATGAATGCAAGCATGCATCACAGTGCGCCCTTTAATACAATATAAAAAACAGGATTAATGTGTGTTCTTGTTTGTTTATTGGCCGTTTCATATGGTTGCCTCAAGCCATCCCATTGCCCCTTACTGAGCACCACAAGAAGATCCGAACGCCGCTGGAAAGAATGCAGAGTTTCATCACCACAATGCACGAAAGCTGGTAAATGTCCCTACATCTGCTTCATATTCTTTTCAGTATCCCTTAAAAAATGTAGGAATGTAATATTTAAAGGCATTAGCTTGTCCGCTTATGGGACGTATAATCCATTTGCAGGAAAAAAGTTAAGATGCTGCGACTATAAACTCATTGGGTCCAGAAAATGTTATGTTGAAAGAGGAATGCTAATGCAGTCACCTGGTGATTATCCAAGGTAATAAAAGGGACGAGCATTTTTACGTAGCATCATTCATGCATCTCAGCCGCTACACAATCCACAAACACGGAGGTGCATAGATATCAAGTTAGTTTAGTCAACTAGTGGGTGTTTATACATGTGGGAGGTGTTTGTGGTCAACGTGGGCACTGAATTACTGAGTCTCGAAGATTGAGGAGCAGCTTTTCACTAAAGCGGCATGAGTTAAAGGGGTGAGTGAGCACTGTTAAACCACAACCTGGGTAATTTACCAACAAATAGTCGGCCGTGGATGGTAGTTTAATAAGTATAACCCGTAAAAACAAAGTTTTTCACTCTAAATCCTTTATATGCGTGGCGGCTAGAGTCCTCTCGTCCTCTGGCTTGAGATGGCTGCCACCTATGGGTCAGATGATTGTCTGCCAGTATTAAACAATTGGTAATTAAATATTTAATTTGTTTTTCCTAAACAGTGTAAAATTTTGGAAAAAAATTTTCACGAACATTAATTGTCACACACAACGAATCTGTGTGCAAAATGTCGGCTCGATTGGATCACGGGAAGTGGGTTAAAAAACGACCGAAAGGTTTGCACGGTCGTAAACAAGCAAGCAAGCAAGCACGCAAGCGAACTTAATATAAAGGATTTAAAAATAGCATGTACAGTAGTGAAACATTGCATGTATTTACAACATTGTGTTGTCATAAAGGAGATCCACATTGGCTATTCAGTTGGCATTATTGTTAAGTGCTTTTAATGCCTCCTTTTGTTCTTGCTAAATGAAGCATATTTGTGTCCCATCGCATGTGACAGCTACATTATACTGGGCAAAGTAGGGAGTGCCCTCGGACGTGACTTCTACAACATCCCGAATGTGGCGCAGTTGCTGCTCGATTCGGCTCTCTCCCATCTGGACATCTCTACCGAACACCGCCTTCGAGCCCTGCTCAATATCCATTGCTGCTTCCCCGTGTCGTATGAGTGAACAACTTTGCGTTACTTGTATACCAATCAAAATAAGCCTACTACCAACGATTCGAGTCACTTGTATGTATATATGTTGAACTTCTTTCGCACCATACGTGCAATGATATTTTTTGTAAATTGAATCATTTTCAGATGTGCGGTGTAAAACTTTGTTACGTAAAAGATGTATGCATTCTCGCCGAAAACAAAACTGTTCTGACCGCAAAGGGTGAAAGCCAACCAAGTAATCATTTCTGTACATCAATTCGTTTGCTCATGAGATATTTTGTACGGTTGGATCAATGTTGACAACATTTTCAGGGGTGGCTCATGACCACAATATCTTGCCTCTGATTGCTTTTTAGATAAAAAGGTCAAAGGGAGACCAAGGTTATGGCAATATCAAAAGCCTAGCATTCCTGCTTGTACCCACGACATCTGAACCGTTTGATCATTTTGGACAAACTTTTCAGAGACTCCGAGACCACAAATGTCTTGCTTGGAATTGCTTTTCAAAACGTCAAAGGTTAAGGTCACAGTGCTTTTGAGAACTAGCAGGGAGAGAGGTTGCAGTAGTGAGCAAGCAAAATTCCACCTATCCCTCTTTAGTGTAAGTAAATAATGCTCAATGTGGGAGTGTGTGTGTAGCAGTTGTATTGCTGTACGCCTGCGTGCTTTGCACAAAGTATCAAATGCTGCCATCTGTAGGAATTGGAAAATGTTGCAGAAGGTATTATTGTTGGCATTGTCAAATATGTCCTGTTCTTCTATCTGTCTATTTAAACAAGCGTTGGACAGCACTTGGGCGATACAGCAAAATTAATAGTTGTACTATACTCCGATGCTCCCATATGTGTGCTCCCCACTATCGCCCATCTGCACCGACCAGAATGGTGAAGTTTAGTCAAACAACCGTCGTGACCTACATGGTGGGGGGAAGCCCTTATTTATTGGTGGATTGAGGAAAGGGCTGTACATGCACTTAACCGTCGAACATTCTTCAGCCCATTCCCGCGCGACGTTACGACCTCTGTAATGTGCACACGCATTGGCGCCGTCGCTCGCTGCATGCACCAGCATGTCGAAACGATGATGGTGGAGCGTGAACGTTTTCTGTCGTGCACATTGAGCAGAGCCACTTCCCTTGACCGTGCTGCCCACAGTTCTTTCTGAAGCTGTTCATTCAGACGTGCCCCGCTGAGAGCTACAACTCCGTTCTGATTCCCATCTGTGGACCCGTGTTTTCTGTGATGCTGCAGGTGAGCGGCGTATGAATTAACAAGGCGTTCAAAATATGCCCGACACACAACCCTTGCTTTGGCACAAACTGTTGTCTTGTTAAGTTGGTGTTTTAAAGAAGTATTTGTCTAACCTCGTTTGTGCAGTCAAATGAAAAAAAAACACTTCACCACAGTGTATTATGAGATTGTCGTCTTGTTTAAACTTTGGGTTCCGTGTGTTGTGTGTGGTGATGCCTAAACGTATATCATGATTCTTTGTTTCGCCACAGAAATTGAGCATACTGTGGCAGAACTTGGTCCAAAGGTCAATGGAGAGGTATGTTAAATGCATGTTTAATGAAGCAGTGTCCGTTGTTACATCTTGCACCCTCCTGTCTGATGATTGCAGTATAAACTGTAGTCCATAATAGAGGTTTTTTGGGTTAGATCGCGTAAATATAAATGCGTCGTTAAACCGACCACCACCCGACACAGCCAATTAGTAAGGTGTCGGGTGGTGGCTGATTTAACGACACATTTTATATTTAGGTGATATAACGCAAAAAACCTTTCATGGATATTATTGGTCGCGAAAGTCTCCGTGTTAAAGAAGCCGTAGTGCTATCCATCCCTGGCAAGGACCGACAACATTTGAACATGGATTACGGCTCCTAAAGGACGTTGCTGATAATGAGCATGCTGGATTTGTTCTGTGGCTTAAACAACTATTCGATATTGGGGAAATCATATTTCCTGTTAAGAAAAGCAAGTAGGCTTGAACAGGGACACATCGCTGAAAAGGACGATTGGCTGATCATTAAGAATGATGACAGATCCACCCCCCCCATCCCATCCTTTTCCCCCTTGTGTTCCTCTTCCCCATATAAAATAAAATCTAAGTTCCCGCTTGCAGTCCCTTTGCGAGTACGGCAGTGAGCTCGCTTTTCTCCCTGAGCACCGTTTCGGGGCTTTTTTTCTGCGGAATTTCGGTGCCCTCTTTCTCTTGTTACTGTTTGTTCTCTGTATCCAGCCTCTCTTGTCGAGTTAAAAAACAACAACAAATTAATGACGACAGATTGGCAGCTGTGAACATCCCCAAGAATGTGAGCGCATCGTGGAGGTAGAGTGATGAGGTCAACTCGTTTGAATTTCATGACTGAGGGATGGTAATGACCTTAGGGAGACCTTCATCCAGCAGTAGATTGAGCATCATCACGGTTGATGTAACCTCATTATTGATGACTATGCTATTTTCGTAATGCGTTTTGAAAAAAGTTCCGAGGAGGATCGTGCGGATGATGCCCAGGAGGTTCTGGAGGATCAGCTGACGCGGTTGGTGACACGCGAATACTTGGAGATCCTCTGTGAGTCCTAATTCAAATCATTTTCACTACGTTGCTACATCTTCTTGGTTCTTTCGGTAAAGTCACGTAGAAGGGAAATAATAAAATAATACACCAGTGGTTCTTAATCTTTACTGCAGCCTAACGCCCCTTTGGTTCTCAATCGTAAAAAAAAAAGTATGTTAATAAATACATAGGTTTGATGAAATAAAGTCGTTGTACGTACGTGCCCGTGCTTAATTTGTGTTTCGATGATTTACGTTCTAAAAAAATCTGGCCACGTCTCCTAGAAGGGCATCTCGCACCCCCAGGGGGTGCGTGCACCCCAGGTTAACAACCAATACTTTAAGCAGATGGCCCTGAGTAGATGTGTTATGTCCCTTAAGATAATCATCAGCAACTCACATCAGTCAAGTGACTCGTGTGGCCTTAAAATGGTAACGTAAGAAATGCACGACATTCTTTGGTTCTTTCGGTAAAGTCTTTACCGAAAGAACCAAAGAATATTAATTCCTGCAGTCACGAAAGTTTTAAATAGAAATATGCACGACAATTGCTGTTATCTGGCCATTGCTGACTGTAATTCTGCTCTGACTATTCCGTCGATTTCTTGTGCAGGTGCTTGTGTCAGTGTGAAAAAATCTGCAGAGCTGCCGACCACTATGGAGAATATGGATGGTGCGTTTTGAATAAAACATTTCACTATTGTGTAGTTCAATGAGCATTGTTTATACCGTTTATTCATTACCTTTTTATTAGCTGTCCGCTGACTGCTGTGTTATTTTCTTTGTTCAGAGGATGAGGTCATGGCGATAGAGGCTGCCCCAAGTGAATCTGATGAAATTAGTGAACTGGGGAAGGGGCTGATCATGAATGAGGTATGTACAAATCTACGCACATAAATGTGAAGTAATGCAATGCAGTGTTAATGTGTTATGGCAAATTTCATAGTCCATAGCAGGGCTAGCCAAATCATGGCTTATGAGCCGCATGCAGATCTCGGGCAGTTTAATTTTAGGCCACAAGAGAAGCAGCTCATTTTATTGTCAATACATTGTTTGAAACGGGGAAAAATCTGCGAAATAAAAGTGACCCGGGGCAGTTGTCCCTGACAGCTTCCATGAGTTATCCTTCTTCAGATTTCCAAATTTAAAAAACTCCGCAGCCATCCAGCGTGAGCGAATTGGCGGTGTGACCACCGTGTGCGTCTTGTGGGCCTCAGCCACGTGAGGCGGCTCGTAAGGCCAGGAAAGTTTGACCACCACCTGGTCCCATAGTGTGTTGTTGTTGTTTTACAACATGGTCCTCTTGTGCAATAGGAGGCCTGCCAAGCGATCCTCTTGAGTGCATTCACTGCTCTCTCCTGGAATGACACTCCTACCTGTCACAAGGCTGCCACCCACCTCTGCTGGCCGGTCCTCAAGCAGGTGAAAACAGAGATGTGCCTTGGGAATGCTTTCCAGTCATAGTATTGACTGTTGGGTTAATTGCACCCAAACATTTATATGGCCATTCTTCACCAGCACATGATGTGCTCTGATGAAGGGCAATTGTTCAATATGTCGCCTATGATATATTTTTTAATTTAATTTTTAAGGGAGTATTATTGACTGCCAACCCAGAATCACCGAATAATAACACTTGTTATGTTACACATATAGCGGGTGATTAATTTGTAAAAATACCCCACTGATTTGTGAGGACTCTCTTGAGTTTATTCTCAACGGGTAGTTGAATAGTACGATTGTGATGGCTCCTTATCTTAGCAGAGGAGAGGGTTAACATATGTATGAGTGCATTTAGATTGGTCGGACTCATGCAGACGCTTTGTTATAAATTAAATACACTTTTCTATAATTTTCATATTTTATGTAGAGTAGTTCCAACTGGGTCACCCTCTTAGTACTGCATTCATAGTCTGAGATGCTGTAATGAATGGTAAATTATAGTCATAAAAAACGTACTAATTTAGAATCTTGCATTGATTTGGTTTCCTGCGGGTGACCTATGGTTGACCCACAAAACTGGTCAGAACTAAGTTGCTTTTACAGATAACCGTTCGGTTGCCGTTCAGACATGACGCGATGAATATAGCCCAAGCATCAAGCCGTAAAAACGACTTGGTTCCAACTCGCTTTGCGGGTTACCCGTGGGTACCTGCGGATAACCGACCTGACAGAGCACTCTACAACAGAGTAACATCCGCACCTCCGATTAGCACGGTTGGCTACGTACGGTGCGAAATACATTCAACATACATACATAAATAAAACACCTAACCACTATACTTGCTTTCACAGGCAGCACAGCACTCGCTATCACCAGAAGCAATGGTGTGGTGCTTCACAGCTGTTCTGCGGGGGCTGGAAGTGCATGGTCAACACGACTGCAGTCAGTCCATACTGGTGAACCTGGCGTTCCAGATTTATGAGAACATGGTGAGTGGCTGCGGTGCCTGTGTTACACCATAACCTTGCCCATGGAGGGTTTTCCCGTCGCGGATTTGACTTTTCGCGCCAAATGTATTGATCGCTCCGCTGTGGCTCGAACATTCGTGGTTGACCACGGGATGCCTGTACACATTGTAAGTGCGCTTTTCGCAATGATGCTTCTACGGAAAAATATCCACGCCGTTTTGCCTCAAACGCAATTCATCACCGGTCTCATTTCACGTGCTCCCAGTGAGGCAGTGAGGTTCAGCCGTGTGATTTTTCTTACATTTTCATCAGTACCCTTATTGATTATTTTGCAATGGCCCCTGAAAGAAAATGAATTGGTAGTGATTCTAGTGACAGAAGCAGAGGAAGGTGATGTCTCTTAGTAAGAAAGTTGAATTCCATGACAGCCTTGCACAAGGTGAGTGCTGCATCATTAACTTGATGTTCATTTTCAGGTTTGCATTTATTTATGTGTACATAACAGTACTGTACACTACATATTTTTTTTTCATTCTATGCATTTACTCTACGAGTTATATGTAACTTTATGTAAAATAATCATTTAACATTGAAAATACTTTCTGTTTCATGAAACAAAAGGGGGAGGGGGGTGTCATATTGCAGAACGTGAATCAAACTTTCGTTTTCCTATTTGTCTTTGAGGATTTGCCGATTGCGGCTATTTAAAAAAACCATCCACTCACAACAGTTCAGAACCAAGTGTAATGACAGGTGGCGGGCTGGATTTGAGCTCGGCTTGGTCAACTGACCTCTGAACCACGTGGCCAACTTAGGACTGTGTATATATGTATATATTTGCCACCAGAATGCTTTTTTGAGAATTCATTATTTGCCATTATTCCTTGCGACCAGCTTCCTGGCATAGTGTAGATTCATTTATATTGGCTTGCCATGCCACTGACTTCTCTTTAGAAATGCACCCTTTCTTTTGTGTTAGTGTTGCTCGATAGAACACACTGATGCATCGCGGTTTCAAGTCGTTTTTCAGTCTTGTAGCCCTTGAAACCATCCTTCTCATCAATGCATCTCACTTCTGCTGTACAAATAGCTAATTCTTTGTCCAGCACCTTAATCAAGGCACTATATAAATTAAAATAACATAAGTTAAAATCATCGTTCAGCTGTGAAATGTAACTTTCTTGCGAGTTTATCACTTAAGATTGCACAATTTGTTTTAGCTGTAGTTGCTTCCTAAAATGATATCCGTGTGAACCCATCTCTCAAACCCTGTTTTTCCAGCGGCCCCGCTTCACCGAGCTGAACGCCATAATGAACCAAATCCCCAACATCTCGGCAGACACCCTCAGTATGTACGAGCAGAAGCTGATCGGCGATCTGATGGCTCCTGAAGGGCCTCCGGGGCCCGTTGGACCCAACGCTGTGAAGCAGGCTGAGAGGCGACGCAAGGACACTTTCAAGAAGCTGATTGCTGGCGTCATTGCGGTTGGTTACAACTTGAGATTGTTTTTATTCGTTCATTGTCTGTCTCCTGTACTTGTATTTTAGTCCGAGTCGGTCTTTTTTTTGTTGTTGAAAAATCTGCATTTAATTTCTCTGCGTTTTTTGGAGGGTTTTTACTGCATGTTGCACGTATGTTAAACTTATTTCGCACCTTACATAGATAATTGGGCATAATGGCTGATATTTTGCTCCATTTCCTGAGAACTACAGCAACCTCTCATTGTAGAAGCTCCTGGTATGTAGATCAATACGTTGAACATCATGCCAAACATGTGGTCCAACCCGAAAACACGAGCTGTACAACAATAACCGTGAATATGAATGCAGTGGGGTGCTCTGGCGTATTTTTTTTCGTGTGCTTTGCTCTTCTACCTTTTCACACTTGTGTCATGACCCCGCCACTGTTCATCTGTTTCCATGTCTGCTCACGGCTTGCAGAAAGACATCGGGCAGAAGTTCCGCAACGAAATTCAGATCCGTGACCTGCCGCGGTTATTTCAGCGGCAAAAGCGGACCGTAAGTATTGAAGACCAGGAGAAAAGTGACATTGGCATTATGGCACTCTTCGTTCCTCAGGCCCAGTCTATATAATTACCACTTGGCTTAACCTCAATGCACATGGGGTATGTATATCTTAATTTCATTTTGCGTGGTTAGTTCTTTGGGTACTTATTTGAACAAAAAAAAAATTACTGGCCGATTAAAATATAATGCTGCAAACGAGCTCATCCATTTCACACAAATGAACAGCGTTTTGATTAAATTAAGTACTCTTGTTTATCTGATTGCCATCAGCACTGCCATACACCTACACTCATGGCTGGGTTCATCAATGTCTAATAAAGGTTTTTGATTAAAAGTTGAACATTTTTCGGTGCAATAGTTGTCATCGAATCGGCTCATTGATGGGTTACAAGCCACTTATGGCCAACACAGATTCCTAATGGCTACTTATTCTTTATTTCTTAATCATAAAACCACCAGTCGTCTTAAATCCACATTAACTCATTCTTTATATGGTAACCCACCATACTATTGTTTTACCTGTACTTTCTCAGACATTGATATAATTTATGACGTTCTGGAGAGCATGACCAAGGGTACACACACTCTTTAAGCAGTGTCTGCTTAGACATGCTATGTAGCCCCCAGGCATTTTAACTGGGAAGATAATATAAATAGCAGTGTTAGTTTTGCCTAAGTTATGAAATTCAAAACGAAGGAATATTTTATAAGGTTTATGCTGCAGCTTTTTTTTATTCCCTTTCATACTGTACTGTCCTGCCCTAAACCCAAAATGTAAGTGACCTTTAATTATTGATTTACGCGTTAAATTTTTATGTATTTGTCTGTCACTTGCATTTTTAAGGGGTGTAAAGAGCTTAAACTACGAGATGATGCTTCAATCTTTAAAACGAAAATCTTATTTTTTTTTTGTTTGATACAGTTGTGTTAGTCTTACTAAAACTTGACTCATTAGTGTTTGGAAAATATCGTGTACAAATTTACAAGCGTGCTGTGACAGGTGATGAGTATACATTTGTATTTTTTATATGTAGAAGCCAATCGAGTAGTTGTAATAACTGATTATTTCAGTGCGCCACATTGTTTTATATGTGTGTTGCCATGTAGTGTTCCCCTCACGAATGAAGCCGTTACTTGGTTTCTCACATTAAAAAAGTGGCACAGTTAAGATTTGGAGACTTTCCATATCCGTTTACTGACACTGTTGTTCTATGAAATCAATAAATGATGTCGATGTATTATCCACACGTGGCCTCGAGATGCACTCATTCCGCACTTCAACGCATCTTGTAAACAGTGCTCACAATTTTAGTCTGGTAGTGATGGCGAAGCATTAACGTTAACGAGACTGGGATTACAACTTTTACTGGTAGGAACCTCCTGGTTACACCAGCCCACGGGATTATTGTGTCCGTCCATCGTGCATCCAAAAATGGGAGGGGTGGGGCTGGGTGGAGAGGGGAGGGTGGAGAGGGGCTGGGTGGGGAGGGGTGGGGCTGGGTGGGGGGGGGCTGGTCACCCTGTGGGGCCCTCATAAAAATCAACGTTTATAACCTACTCACGCCGGCTTGTGCCTGCAACCCAACGTTCCTACCAGCTCCCTCCGCAGGAATGTGTTTTATTGCCAAATTCTGCCTTCATTGCAAGACTTGCTGGAGTTTGGTTGAAGTTCTAAATTCACACATTATTTGTATCAATCTACAGTACTGTATTTGTACCGTGCTGATGAAAATATATAGTCTCCAACTTTGAATTCCCAGATTCTTGACAGTCCCAGAATGGTCTCATATATGCATTGTTTGTGTAATAAAATGATATAAACACCATACTTTACTACTAGTCTATGCAGGTTGGTGAAGGGACTGCTCGGGCACAGTTCAGATATCACCACTGAGCCATGGCCAGGAATCAAACCAGGGTACCCGAGGTATAAAGTGCAGTCCATCAAACACTGCGCCGCCATCCCATTAAATTTTGCGTTTTGGAATTGGCTTTATTTTACGTGCACATTTCTTGTTAAACGGCAGTGCTAATTACAACGGATATCCTTTTAAACGCACACGGGCATCATTGGTGAGTGATGTCAATTCGCGTGAAGCGTTACGTTCAAACAACTTTTATGGGCCATGACCAACAAGGTATGGGGGAGGAGGATTTCATCCTGCAGTGGACTGACAATAAACTGCAATTAGGGGTGTTGAAAGGAGAGCAGGTTGCACTGCATTTAAAAAGCTCAATAGATAATGAAAACCGATGTACCTGGACACTTAAACCGGTGTTTACTGTACTACCTCTGCATAAAGTGCGGTCGTTAAAACTAAAAAAAATAAAACTTGCCGTTTTCAACCAAATTGAGGTTACATCACATTTTAGAACCCCAAATTAACTGTGATACAGTATAACATTTAAACCCCACGAAACTCGAATATACTTGACTGGTACAGTATAGTACTGGCCAAACATCTCAAATGCTGAATAATTACTTGAACATTACTTAATTGGGCATTACAGAAGAAGAATATTTGGAGGAATCTGATGAGCTATAAAGTTCTTTCCCACATATCCAGTAGGGGTTGGTCAGAACGTTACAATACCAAAGCACGATAGGAGTGCAAAGTATAGGAACGGTAAGAAAATCACTAAAGCATGTAGTGGGTTAAATTCAGGCGCACACTGGAACTTTGGAGGCAACACTATTTATTATCTAAACACAACGGGTAACTCTTAACATTAACAGGATAACGACATAGGGTGGTGGTAACCACCGTTCCTAACTTAGCTAACACACGGGGATACTACATTCCTGGACCGGAGACCAAGGATCGTAGATGGTGGCTTCATCCCAGAGTTGACCCGGCAGAACAGCCCAGATCACCTTCCACACCCCGGTTATAACCACTCTGGCATGGCCGGATCCACCCCAGGTCACGCCCCCCTTCCAGATCCTTCGGTAAGGCCCGAACCCCAACCACGTGACCCCCCTGGGGCCCCTGGCCCCCCTTTATCTGGTCACGTGTCCTGTTGGGTTCACACAGCGTGTCACGGCCCGACACGACCCCGTGACACCTGCCTACAGCCCCCATACCGAGCCAATACAATGTCGTTCTACTCCACTACACATATACAAATAAAACTACACTGTTATTCCAACAGGTGTAGCAAAATCGTTCCCCCGACTGCGAGCACATTTTAGGACCTGAGTCGTAAAATGACTTTGCAGAGTAATTAATACTTATAAAAAAACATTCAAATGGAATTCCGGTATGTGGTTAGTAGGTGGGGATCCTCCCCACCCCACACAACACGCTGTATAATAATGGTGTATTTGAGTTAGATCGTGTAAATATAAATGTGTTGTTAAACCCACCACAGCCAATGCTGTTTTGTACCTATAGGAACATAAACAATGGTGAGCTCCTCAGGTTAGGTCTGGCATCCCGTGGTGTCAACAGATCCAACAAATATTCTGCCGAATTGGAACTAAGGACATTTTAAATAAAGCCTGGTGAATAATTCTGTGATCATGGAGGGATGTTAGGCCAGTCTCTATATATAGGTAACAATGATGAGTTTTATAAGAGGCATCCAGAGCAAATCTTAGAGCCGAATGATATATTGGGTTGAGCTTATTTAGCAATTAATTTGATGCAGACTGATAAACAATGTCACAGTACATTTTGATTGAAAGCTTTCCCTTCTACGTGACTTTACCGAAAGAACCAAGAATATGTCACAGTAATCAAATAAAGGCAGGGAAGTTGCCCTTATCAACTCAAAAAGAAGTTTAGCTGGGAAACAATGTTTTTTTCCTATAAAGAAAGCCAGTTTAAATTTTTACTTTTTTTCCAGCATGATCAATAGGATCATGGAATGTAAGTTTTGAATCTATTATGAACCCAAGGTAATTCGTTTTGTCTACCTGTTCAATAAGTTTGTTTTCAAGCGTATATAATGGGGGAAGAACTGCAGGTTGTCTTTTTCTGAGAGAAACACATTACTTTTGATTTCCTGGTATTAAGGACCAGTTTAAGTGTGATGAGTTGTTGAATTTTAATGAAGTCGCTTTGTAACTTCCTGTAGACATCTTGGGGGGAATGACCAGCGACCAGCAATATAGTATCATCTGCAAAAATGTTGATCCTAGAATGTTCAAGCTGGGTACCCAAGTTATTTACATATATGGAAAATATTGGACGAAGAACGGATCCTTGAGGTACACCCTTTGTAATACAAATTTTGGTTGAAACCAGGTTAGCAAAATATACTAGCTGGTTACGTGAAAAGAGATAGCTTTTAAACCAGTTAACTGTATGCTCCGATAATTGCAGGCTTCGAAGTCTATTTAATAAAATGCTATGGTCTACTGTGTCATAGGCTTTGGATAAATCTAAAAATAGGGAGGCACAGTACTGGTTTCTCTCCAGAATATTAAACATGAGTCCAAAACAGCAGAAGCTGTGAAGTACAGTATTTTTTACGGAAACCCGATTGTTTAGGATGTAGTAGCTTATTTTCTAAGATAAATTTACCAACTTGGGTTTCTAATAATTTGTCAAATAATTGTATCAATGGTGATGCATCATGGGAGGTTCCATGATGTAGCTGCTCACCCCGAGCTCCCAATACCCTGATAGTGAATTCCCTTTGTTCTTTTCGCCTTTTGGCGTTGTCTGGTCTAATACTCAGACTAAAAAAATTAACCCGTAAAAACAAAGTTTTTCACTATAAATCCTTTATATGCGTGGTGGCTAGAGTCCTCTCGTCCTCTGGCTTGAGATGGCTGCCACCTATGGGTCAGATGATTGTCTGGCAGCATTAAGCAATTGGTAATAAAAAAAAATCCCTAAACAGTGTAAAATTTTGGAGAAAAAAAATTCACGAAAATTGTCACGCACAACGAGTCTGTGTGCAAAATGTCAGCTCGATTGGATCACGGAAAGTGGGTTAAAAAACGACCGAAAGATTTGCACGGTCGTAAGCAAGCAAGCAAGCACGCAAGCAAGCAAGCGAACTTAATATAAAGGATTTTAAAAAGCTTGTCTCTGGTGTGGACCAGTTTTAAAAGCAATCCAAAAATTACCAGAGCGTTTGTTTTGTTTGCATGTTCACCACAAGTGTGCGTGGTTAATGCAGACAAGATTATACTTGTGAAATATTTCTCTTCGGTGTTTTAACATCTTCACACCTGGCTTTATTGCCAGAGAGGGTAAACAACCTATTCTTGTATTTTGATTCTGGCAAGGGACGTCCCGTGATGTAGCCGCTCAACCCCGCGCTCTCAATGCCCCGACAGTGCATTGTCTGGTCTAACACCGACACTTCAAAAAGCTGGTGCTTTAACATCTTAACAACACCTGTGTCATAATTGGTTTTTCACCCTTCTATCTGGCAACAAAACTAATACCTTTTTTACAAGGAGTCATGTTTGCATAGACCACAATACCTGCAGCCATAATGCAAACAAAAAACATAACTATGATAACATATGCACTTTTCTTGGTTCTGGTTCTTTCGGTAAAGTCACGTAGAAGGGAAGTAATAAAATAATAAAAATAAAACATAATAAAATAATTCTATTATTTTTATTATTTTATTACTTCCCTTATACGTGACTTTACCGAAACAACCAAGAAGATGAATCCCTGCAGTCACGAAAGCTTTACATCGAATATTCATATTTTAAATTTCATAAATCGAAATTTAAAATATGCACTATCCTTGAAGTTGATTGGTCCACACCCGAGACAGCTTTCCTTAGAGCCTAGTCTCACCTGTGTCATTGCCAGAAAGGTTAAAACCCATCCCATGCCCCCCCCCCCCTCGTGTTAAACGACGCGCGGTTGTGAACAGCGCCACGTGCGAGCGACCCGCCACGCTGACAACCTCCGGGGAGAATTTCCACCAATCAGCGGCGGCCACGGAAATACCAGCACCACGGGCTGCGGAATGTACCACTCGACGCCAAACACCCCCCCACCACCTCCACCACCCCAAACAAACTCCACCCATCAAATTACTCACAGCAGATATACAACGTGGAATTCCTCACAGCAGCAACGGCTAAGCAAGCATAGCGTTTTTCGGTACAACAACAAACAAAATAAATTTTTACAAAAGTCAGTTTAGTTTCTAACATAACAATCTAACGAAAATTGCCGGCGTTTAAACGTGTGGCTTCGAACGGGGGGGGGGGGGGTGACGAGATGGTATATCCCGGAAGAGCGCGCGGGGTCAGGGGTCACGGCAATGTGATGTCGTGTACATTCCTGCCCGCTCCACTGTACGTGCGTTCATCTCCACACCGCCTCCGCCTCCTCCTCTCTGGCTAGTACCCCGACCGCCGTACAAACAGCGACGTCTTTGCTACCGTGCTACTGCTGCTGCTAAGAAGAAGAAGCTGTTGACGACGACGGCGGTGGCGGCGGCGGCGGCGGCGATGCGGCTGGCGGTGCTGAGCGGGGTGAGCGCGATGCTCACCTCGGCCGTGGTGCTGCACGCCACCTACACCAAGCGGCAGTTCTACCCCACCGTTGTCTACCTCACCAAGTCGAGCCCCTGCCTAGCGGTGAGTGAGACGGCACCCTCGTGGGGGGAAACCACCCATCAGCAGCAGCAACAGCAACAGTCCCTGTCACTTAGCAGCAGTAGCAGCAGTAGCAGCCCTCAACAGCTCTATCAACACCAGCGCTAGCCACTATCTAAACCAACAGTAGCAACACCTCAGCAGCTTCAGCAGCAGCAACAGTAGTATCACCTCTCACCACCAGCCCTGCCACCAGCAGAAGCAGTACTCAATAGCGTTAGCAACACGACCAGCCGCACGCAGCACTGATCAGCAGCAGCAGAAACTCCACTGCCAACGATGTCAACGCCACCAAGAATCGGCAGCGCCTCTCACAATCGCCGACCAGCAGCAGTGACAGCACTTGCCAACGCTATCGACACCAGCAGTAGCAACAGCAGCACCCATCGGATTAGTATCACATCTCGGCATCGACAGTGGGATCAACTCTCATCAGCAGCACGACCGGGGCAGTACTACCACCAGTACAGGCATTTGTTTTACCATCAACAAAAACGCCAGCAACTACCACTGTTCCCACAACCGCTTACCATCATCACCAGCATTTTCACCACCATCGTTAGCATCCCTTCGTCCACCACCACCATACAACAAGATCCCGCGTGTAGCCAAGGAGAGCCCACCACTGGAGCAAGTGTTGTTCGTGAGCACACATTAGGGCTGTCCATGGGCACTCGGCGGTGTTGTGGCCAGAACCATGTACATCCATCAGGATGGCTTTGTCTCCCCGCTGTTGATGTTTATACTTCACTGGGTACTCGATGTGTAAGGCCAAGTCGGCCTCGGTGATGCCGAGTTGACCAACCAGTTTCATAAAACACATTTCATGTGAAGTACTTGAATTATTTTAAAACTGGAGAAGTTAACCTGATAATCATTGTATCACCTATGAAGTAGGGGCATTGCCCGAAACGCCGCCTTTTGTATAGTGTTGCCTTCATTGCAGCGTTATTGAAGAATGTGATGGTTGTGTTATTTGCGCGTGTGCCCCGCTTCCAACGTACATCACAAATCATTTGATTAGTAGCAGCTGCTTTTTTAAACTGGTCCCCAGGACAACACTTGCCACTGGCATTACCAAAGTCGAACGAATTGAACTCAGGTGGACATTTTTCCCCACGACAACCACCGCTACAAACCACTCTCACCAGCAGCCTGCTTTCTTGTCTTTTGACACTCAACTCCTAGCTATCTTATGCAAGCGCATGTAAAACTAGCAGGGCCCAGGCTGTTTGGACTCAATGGCAGTGGTAGTGTTGTCAAAACTGGAAGATATAAATTTCAGTTTTGTTTCAGTTGCATTTATTTGGTATAGCCCTGTGAGCCATTCGGCTCTTGAATCGGGTGCGACCGCAACAAACCAAAAACATGAACAAGAAAACATCTTAAAGTGACTATGCGCAAACAGAAAAATCCAGGAAAAAACTGCAAAGTCTTCCAGAAAAAAGCACCGTACACCAACGCTGTGCAAAAATCCCAGTGGGATGCAAATCAAACAACAACAACAACCACAAGACAACTTAGATTAAAGCCATCATTCTAACTCCGTACTACAACAAACAAACATGGCCAAACCAAAAAACTTTTCGAAATCACCAAAATAAAGCCATAAGCAATGTAACAAATAAGTGTCGTGATGATGGTGGTGCTGATAATAATGATACCAGTTGGTTACATTGAATTTGCTATGGAGAGCCTCCACTTTCTATGGAAGTGTGGAATTTCCACCACTTCCTCAGCGTGGCCTATGAAGGATAAGTAAGTTAGACACTTGAATTGGCTCTGATAACCATGCATGCCGTATTCGATGTAATTATTTAATCAGAAAAAAACTGAATCTCTACTCTTTCAAGATGGTCTTTCTTGGTATGTTTGCCCAGTCCCTTTACTGTGCATGACTGTTTTGCTTGTGAGAGGTAACCGGAGTTGCCCACATGTAAGAAAATAATACTCAAACTCTGCTGCATATGAAGGCCTTGGAATCCTGCTTCTTATTCTGCTCTCTCAAAGTATCAATCACCCAGGTGTCCAGCAGGTGGCTGTCTCAGTCAATCTCACCACGATCCATCAACCACAATTTATTTTGTCGTTGATTGATGCCAACACAGCTACCAAAGGAGGATTCCTGTTTGATTTTTTTTCAAAACGGGTTTTGAAAATATTGTCAACCTCTAATCAGACAGGCTTGCAAAAGAGGGCATCTACAAACACTTCTTTGTTGTAACCAGTTGAGTCGGAAAATAAATTTTAAAAAAGTTAATCAATGAAAACGTTCTCTGTCATTTTAATATTTTTCTCTGAACGCGAAACTATTTCTGTGAAACATAAAACTCTCGTATGGGAATGGTGATTATTGTTTCACATTTGTATTAATTCATAATGTGCATACTGTACAGTGTAAGGTATTTTAATGTGTGTTCTCCGTGCGGCATTTATCGTTGCCAAGTAAATAAATAAAAACTTCCAATGATGTGGAAATATTGTGGGTTCAAGGTGTGCAACAATATCTTCAGGATCGATGGATTTTCATGATTTTGTATTTGTGATTCAACTCAAAGATTCACTCATTTTCATCACGGTGGTGGCAGCGTGGCACATTGGTAACACTCATGGCTGATGGCAAGAATCACCTGCGTTTGATTCCTGAATTTGGGAACTTTTCTGCGTGGAGTTTGTATGTTCTCGCCTGCTGTTCTGCGTGGGTTTCCTCTGGGTTCTCCACTTTCCTCCCAAATATACAAACATACAGTGTCATTGGTGTTGGCCAAGCATCCCAATGCCAGGACCCCCTGAAAAAAAGTCTTCAGATTCAGTTTTCATATTCAGTGTGGCTTTCCTGGGTAACTAAGTAATTAGCATCATTATGTAGAGTCTCATGCCTGCAGAGGTCACGTGAATCAATAACTTAAAATAATGTAAAAAAATATATTCTTGAGTGCACGAATCAAATAATTGATCAAAATGTATTCATAACATACACCTTTACATACCTCGAAGATCTATCTGGGTTTGTTATCATTATTGCTCTGTCAACAGCTTATCAAACGGGGCTCAACACTTCACTACAATCACTCACACAGTGCTTGTTTATAATGTGGGCTTGATGGTGACGTGGCACTAGCAAATAACTTTTCACGTAGAATGAATGGGCTAGCACCCCAAGCGGAGTCTTCATAAAATACCATGCCAACTAGCGATGCTGCCCTTGAAACAAACGTCAAAAGTGAGAAAAGTTAAATAAAAAATGTGATGTGATTGTGTTGTTCGCTTACTTAATACTCTTGTTTGGTAATCGGTGGAGTCGAACTGTTTGCCAAGGGCGGTGTTAATACAGGTGCGTAACTTGTGCTGCTGCTGCTGTATTCCCTCTGGTAGGTGCTTTACCTGCAGGCGTTTGTCCTGGTCTTCCTACTGGGAAAGTTAATGCGAAAAGTTTTCTTCGGACAACTGCGAGCAGCAGAAACAGAGGTGAGGCTCATGGTGAGGCTCAAGATAGCTTAAGCTGAGCCACTGAACTCGTTTATATAAGGGGGGGCTAAGCACCCATGTTATTCTTATAATAAGCTAAAAAAGGATTGGGGCTAGCCCCAGCTTTAACGCCGGTCCAGTTCGTCCTCCAAGTCATCGTGTGTGTGTGAAAATGTGTATGTGTATATATGAAATAAACTCCAGGCAGGAGATGTGGACACTGTTTTCACGGGCAGTTCTAAACAGTATTATGTGCATGTGCATAGTGGGGAGTCAGTCAGTTAACCCATAACGCTTGTGTCTCCCGTGACCTGCCAGTGAGTCATCGACACTTAACGGGGTCTCTGCGTATAGCCTGGCACAAGCTCTATTGCCCATGGAGGGCATTATTTGCTGATTTGCATTAAAAGTGTTTGTCATAACAACATGTACCAATCATTGCTACAACTCGGTGGGCTCTCATGAAATTGTCTTTTCCGAGACCAAGGTTCTCTGCAAACCTCCTGGCTACCATCAAAGGTTTGTACACGAAGCCATACAAATATACAAACACAGACATAATTTCAACCGTGATGACTGTTACAAACTGAGTAATCATTGGAAAGATGTGATTAACCATGCAAAAAAGATTTAACTACACTTATTTGCCAATCTTATTTGACAGACAACTATTACAGTTTTACCATGTTTAGTGGTTGTCTCCCTGTCACAGGTTGATTCACAAACCATACCTCTCCATAACAAAAGCTCACCCTCTTAAGCCTCACCTTACCATATTAATAAAAAAGTATGCGGCCCTTGCCCCACCACCTTCTCCAACCATTATATAAACGGAGTGGTAGATCCTGCAATCTCTCATTTACTTGATACAGCTGTCGTGGCTGTGACGGTCCCACCTGAAGACAGAAGCTTGTGTTGCCTCCGAAACGTCGTGATTTTTTTTTAATTTTACTTTTTTAATGTTTTACCTACGTGACTTTACCGAAAAAACCCAAGAATATGAATCCTTGCAGTCACGAAAGCTTCAAATCTAGAATGTATCAAACCCATGACCCATCTGCATGTGTGTCAGAGTACAGCGGGGGTTTTTTTAAGCATGTGTTTGTATGAGACCCTGTGGAAATTTCTGCACGGTCTCGTCCATCTTTATCAAACTCTCTCTTTACTCCACAATGCCACACATTGTGAGATGGTAAAAGCACTTGTTCAAATATAGATTATACAGTACTTGTATTTCCGCAACTTTCCAGGACACAACTGTGGCAAGTCACTTCATTTCAGGATGTGGTTGTCACGGTCATGACACTACTTGCAACTGTTAGAATGTAATGGTGCAAATATCGGTACAAAATTTAAGACTCTTTCATGTGACCATATGTGTGCCCCACCAATGATCGGGGCACCCGATCCCATGAGACCTCGGAAACTAAGCTGGCTGAAGCCTGGATAGTCCTTGGATGGGCAACTACGATTCACATACGATTCTCATCGGCATCCACGGGAGGTGTGCTACGTTCTGGGCAGGAGAGGGCATTCCAGCAAAAACATAAACATCCATTTATTTGAAATATGGTACATTTTGCATTCACACCATTCTTTGAGCACAAAGGCTATCATGAAGGCGGTGGATTTCACTCATGGATATAGTCTGCCAGTGGGCGATGTTGCAAAGTGGTTTTACCTAATTACGTAATTTGCGGGTAACTTTTCAAACTCGGCAACTTGACCGTGAAGCCGCTTTGCATCCCACTCTTGTTGTACTGTGCTTCAATGCTCCCACATCAATGCCTCCCCTCCATCATCAGCCTGCACTGTCCAGCGCAGCAAAGCATGGTCAATTAACCCCTCCCGCGACGTAAGTACCATGGTGGGGGGGAGACCCTTGATCCAGCAGTGGTGTATTACTGACTGATACACGTGTACGCCGGATCTTTGCATTCCTCAGCACCTCATCGAGCGCTCCTGGTACGCCGTGACGGAGACATGCCTCGCCTTCACGGTGTTCAGGGACGATGTCAGCCCTCGCTTCGTGGCTCTCTTCACCCTCTTGCTCTTCCTCAAGTGCTTTCACTGGCTGGCCGAGGATCGCGTTGACTTTGTGAGTATGGCACTGTACTCGCCGCTTGTCCTCTGCACTCAATGTCTCAGCTCTGTTGTTTACCCATTGTTTGTTGGCGTTTAAGTTTAAGCGCTTAAATAAACCGCAGGAGCTATAAATTTTTGTTATTTTACCAGGTAAGGCCCACTGAGCTGTGTAGCTCTTTTTCAGGAGCGAGCTGGCCACATTATAGCCCAATGAAGTGGCTTATCATGTGGACATTTATAGCAGCCAAATACTCTTAAGCGCGCATGTTGATTCTAAATGTGTAGGGAAAAACCGGAGAACCCGGAGAAAAATCCACGGGACCACAGGGTGAACATGCAAACTCCAAATATATACAATTGTCAGGGTCGGGATCGAAACCATTACCTCCTGGATACCAGCTGGGGCACCGCCGTGTTTCACGCACTGCACTATGATCCCGGCTCCCAGAGTTTGATTCCTAGCCACGGCTAATGTCATTGGCGAGCGATATCGAATCGGTCTTGGGCATCGCCTCATCCTTTAACCCACATGAGGAAGTATTCTTAAACAAGCTCCTTGATCGACGTAGCGTGGAAAATTCTTTACAAAGCAGTGGATTAACACATAGCTCTAAATTATATTAGCATTACGTTCAGAACATAAGCTGCATATTAAAATAATTTTTTTCGTAAATATGTCTGTCATCAAATCAATACATATATGCAGTATTTACTGGTGGTAGTAATTTTCAGCGTACACATTACCAATGATGCATGCACTGCTGTGGGTATCTATCCGGTGACTGTTTTTCAAATGATGGATACATAAAACAATCACCAGCACTGTGCTGAATGTTTTGAGCAAAAAAAACTAAACGTTTTGATCCTGTCCTTTCATCCTGCAGATGGAAAGAAGTCCTGTCATATCGTGGCTTTTTCACATTCGTGTTTTTTGTGAGTACCGTAGTTTTTTAGTAATGTGCGCAGTGAACGAAATATATTTCCCATGTTCACATTCGCTTGGAGTATATCGTTGTGTTTACTTGCTGATATTGTCTAAATATACAGTTCGGCAGTGCCAAGGTTCTCTATTAAAGTAAACCGTTAAAATTACTTCGATATGAAAGTGTTATTACAGTATATTACTTATGCTATTACAACTAAATATGCATTTATCGCTTACAATAATCCAAACCATATGTTGAGGAGCACTGGTTATTGCACGGTGCTATGAACCTGGCAACCTGAGTTCGATGCCCGGCCATGGCTAATGTTATTGGCGAGTAATGTGTGAACTGGTCATAGACTGAATTTGAAATCTCGAGTCACTGTAATGAGAATGCACAGCGTAAGCACAACCCAATTGGGCTTTGTAATTTGTACACCTTGTGATTGTGTTGAGACCTAGCAATATTTACCCGAAAAAAATTATTGCTGCTTAAAAATGTATGCATTATGCTAAGGCGGCACAACTGATATTACAGCGGCATTGTGTTCAGCAGAGGGCAGTCCAGCAAAAAACCCATTGTTGCAGTGTAATTCTACATCTTACGTTCCACGCCTTCACCAATCTAGTGCCCAGCGTGGAGCAATATTGCAAAATGACCCCCGTGACCCACATGGCAGGGTTAGCCCCTCATTCAGCAGCGGCTAGACCCAAGGGTCGTGCATGCACATGGCAATTTAAGTAGAATCCCTCTGCTGCAAAGTGATTGAAATTTTAATTTCTGCATCTCCGCTCTCCTCCAAAAAGAGCTCCATAGACAGATTCATGCGGTGGGTTTTTGTGTCTGTGTGTGGCTCCTAGACGGTGTTTTCCATTCAGTCTTTTTGATCTCTGCGATGTGCCTGCCCTTTCAGCCCTGATGCTGGTGCTCTCTGCAGCGGATGGCTTTTTGGTTCACCTCGCCTATTACAGCGTCATCACCCGCGGAGCTTCAGTACAGCTCGTTTTTGGCTTTGAGGTGAGTGAAATAAACGTCGTAGACCAAGGTTTTGTTTCGCTTTTGCACCGATATGCACAGAGTTGTTCCGATACTATAACGGTGGGTTTTCTTTTCTCGTCTCGGTTGCAGTATGCCATCCTGCTCACAATGGTGCTCACCATATTCATCAAGTATTTGCTGCACACCATAGACCTGCAGAGTGAAAACCCATGGGACAACAAAGCAGTGTACATGCTTTACACCGAGCTCTTCACTGGTAAAGCCACAACACACACGAGCCACACACACACAGATACCGAGATAACAAAATAATACCAATTCACCACCCTTTGTCAGTCGGCTTTTTGATGAAGTCCTCCTCATGCTGGGTCAATAAAGGGAGTAGTTTTACGCTATTTCTTCACGCTGGTCCATGCGGTTTAGGTTAAGGGCACTCCTCACTGATGGTAGCCATGTCCTGGAGTTAAACCTGGGTCACTGGCTTCATAATGCAGTATATTATAAGCACTACACCACTCTTCCATTCCACCCAGCAAATATTGTCCATTTTGTCTACGTATTGTGTGATGTCATTTTTTTAATACCACTGATAATTTTTTCAAACCAAGGTTAACTAAGATATTATTTCTGTTTTTGTTAATCAAGTAATCAACGCATCCATTTACTTTCGCATATATATAATTGAAAACATATTTACTTCATAAATGTTATTTGTACGAATCGTACTATGTAAAAAAAAACTTTTTACGGCTTGGAGAAACAGAAAGAGGAATGGATAGTCACGTCTAAAGAATGTGAACTCTACTTGCATGTACTGAAGCAAGGTGTCATTTAAGTGAAATATAACTAAAAATAGTATGCTGTGTTAATACTTTGAAATGTATGGCATGCAGGAAGTGAAAAGCATGTTTGACCATACCCCGTAGTGTTTGTATGTGTGCTTAACGGGTGTAGTCAAACAGCACACTCCCAGTTTTTCATATTTAGGTGTGCATTACTCAATGTGAATTCATCTAATGGAAAACTGACATCCCACAGCATGCCAGTTCTTCATGTTATCATGCCTTATACTTCTTTGTTCGACTTTTGTGCAGCAATTACGCATCTATGCTCTGGATTTCAGCGGGGTGTATTTATGTGGCTGATTATGTTTTAAATCTTTTTCCTTAACAGGGCTGATTAAAGTGCTCCTCTATGGCACATTCATGACCATCATGATCAAGGTCCACACTTTCCCCCTGTTTGCAATACGTCCAATGTACCTGACCATGCGGTGAGTGATTGCAGGAATGGTTCTGTGTGTCGGAATGTACATATTAAAGCGTATTGGCTGTTTATACACCATTTTTACGATTAATGTTCGCAAAACATGCCACACTCCAGCATCGCGTGTGCTTTATATACGTATTTTTATTTAAGCCTCTTGACACCAAAACTAATTTGTAATTTTTTACCCTTGTGCAGGCAATTCAAGAAAGCTGTAACGGATGCCATCATGTCTCGGAGAGCAATCAGGAATATGAACACTTTGTAAGTTTACATTGCATAAATACATCACCGACTGTGGCATCAGAAGGTGTACAAAATGGCTCAAGGATCGGAGGACTGAGCTGGCATCTCAGAATTCCTGGGTTTGTATTTGGGCTGCAGTGACCTGTGATTAAATCAGGTTCTCAAGTGTAATCGGGTGATGGTCTTGGCCAGGTCACCAATGATTCACACACACAAGTGAAAAAACACATGAATGTGGTTTTTCGCTTATGTCACAAATTCCATCTTTGAGACAACATAAATTGCATCTTGCTTGTAAATCATAACATGGGTTTTGTTGCCACAATTCGCAGGGTGTAAACAAAGGTGGGCCTATCATGCTGAGAATGGGTTCTATTGAAGTGACTTCAGAAGTAGTTCTTTGAGATCATCTTCCAGGGCCATTCCTCGACATTGAGTGCTGCACCCCTCACTCCAGTGATGTTGATGTGTTAAGTTATTTGTCTCGTATCATGATGCCGAAAGCACAATTGGCATGTAATTGGGGCAAAACTAAAATGTATGCGTGGCATCATCAGTCGCCACAAATAAATCAATTTGGAGACCCCCACTTGTTTTTTTTACTTTGTTGTGTTTTTAGGCTACATTACAGTTATGAAGAAATAAGAATATGTTTTACCCTTTCTCACAAGAAAACAGGTGTTAAGATGTTCAAATCCAAATAGAAACATTTTTCAAGTAATCATGTTTGCATTAACCACACGTATTTGTGGTGAACACGCAAACAAAAACATGCTCTGGTAATACATGCATTGTCTTTGAAACTGATTGGCCTACTCCAGAGACAGCCTTCTTTACGGCCTAGTCTCACCAGTGTCAGACCATGGAACGCCAAAAGGCAAACAGTACAAAGACAATGCATTATCAGGGAATGTTTTTCCCATGGTGCATTATAGTTTTTTTGATGTACAGTTTTTTATATTTACATAAATATCAATGTCGCATGTATACCCAGATTTTGCATGATGTCGGTCCACAAAATGTGCCCAATGCAAACCCAACTTGTCCAGCGTTATGAAATAAGCTCGTGCAAATCGGATCATCTCGGTCAATGCGTTTGCTCCTTTGTTACCGATGGACACAACTTGCATTTGCTTTGCTTGGCAGGTATCCAGATGCAACCCCAGAGGAGCTTGCAGCAACAGACAATGTCTGCATTATCTGCCGAGAAGAGATGGTCACTGGTGCCAAGCGGCTGCCCTGCAATCACATATTCCACACGAGGTGTGTGTGTGTGTGCATTATATCCGATTGTGGAATAAGTGTCTTAAATGATTGTGACAGTGGGAAATGCATGTGTAGGGATTTAAGATCAACTGAGGAGTTGTGGAACGAAAGCCACTATAGTAAAAGCCACCATAATAAAGAATCCCACCACTGCCACCAGATGAAGGGATTCAGCTCACGCGGTGTTTAGCAGCAAAGGGTCTCGTTATTGATGAGACCTACAGGTAACGCAGCCGGCCATGCAGCAGGTAACGCACGTTTCAGCAACTCTGCAGTCGGAACTCCCCTCTGCTCTCTCGCCTGGTATGCAGAAGGTGTCGTGGGTTTGATCCCGACCCTGACGCCTGCTGTGTATTTGGAGTTTGTCTCTTCTCCCCTTGATCGCGTGGATTTTTCTCTGGGTACTCCAGTTTTCCCCTCCACATTTCTAAGCGTGTTTAGAGTATTTGGTTGCTATAAATGTCTACATGATGAGCCACTTCGTTGAGCTGTCATTTGTGGCAAGGTCACTTCTGAAAAAGCTGCATAGCTCAGTTGGCCTTACCTGGTAAAATCTTTAAAAATATGAAGTTCATATCACAATCTTGAGAGACTGGGTTCAGTCTCCAGCGGGAGGTGATTAATCTTACGTAGGTTATTTTCATATTTAATTGTTTCTTTCAAGTGTCATTTTTACATATTCAAAGCAAACTGTGTTAACGAAGGTATCCTGGCAATTTAAGTCAGATCTTCAGCAAAATGTTCCACAAAATGAACGTCACCTATATTAATTGAAGCGAGCACTGGGTGTTGAGCGGTTCTGGAACCTTTCATCTAATATTCTTGACCATCATCAAAACACCTGGTAATGCAGCACAACACAGGCAAAGCAGCAGCAGATAAGATTACATACCTATAAAGCACCATACAAATATCGAGTCGAAATGCGTAACAAGAAGAAATTGTCCACGGATATTTGTTTGTCGTGACCATAAAATAACCGTGGTTCTAGCAAATCGGTTGTTGCAATGCGTGTGAAAATCTGACAGCTTTTGATGCTAATCTCGCCGCATGCTCTGCACAGCTGCTTGCGCTCATGGTTCCAGCGCCAGCAAACTTGCCCCACGTGTCGCATGGACATCCTGCGCAACACGGTGGCAGGGCAAGGGCAAGGCCAGGGCCAGGCTGGAGCACAGCAACAAAATCACCAACAGCAGCAGCAGCAACAGCAACAGCCACATCAACAGCAGGCCCCACAGCATGCAGGCCAAAACCAGCCAAACCGTAAGTGTGCCAACTTTTATGAAAGTATAATCTTGTTTTTTTTGGTAAAGTCACGTAGGTAAAGAAAATAATGATGATTGCTTGTGTTGCAATCGAAACGTGATTTTATTTGTTTAATTTTCTTTACCTACGTGACTTTACCGAAAGAACCAAGAGTATGGTTCCTTGCAGTCACGAAAAGTTCAAATCTTTTATGAAAGTAACTTTTCAGTGCATTATAACTCGGGTTAAAAGTGTCTATGCATTAGCTCTGTCCGTCTGTAACCAGTGGGGGGGCTGATTAGTTTAATGTTGTGCTGCTATTAGGGACGCCGTGGTGGCGAGGATGATGTTTCCCTCACCTAGTGTGCACGAGGTCGTGGGCTCGATCCCGCTCCTTCCGTTGCCTGTATACAAGTCTGTGTGTTCTCTGCCCGTGGTGATGCGGATTTTAATCCGGTTTCTCTGGTTTTGCCCTTCACACGTAGAAAATTTCGTTTAGGATATTTGGCTGCTATAAATTCTCACATGATGATATCAGCCACTTTGATGAGCAATCATGTTAGGCTTATATCACCTCTGAAAAAGTGCTAATTACTCAGTGGGCTTAACCTGGTTCATGAAATAGCTAGTTTTTTTGGGGGGGGACTTACCTTATTGAAAACCGGCCACATTGATCGAAATATTGTCCAAAACTTAAGATAAAGAAACTAGGGAAAAATGTACTCCTTGCCTATATGCAACCATGTTTTTGCCGTGAGCGACCTATCAGATTCCGTACTGTTAATTAAATACTCCCAAAGACAAACGCATGTTGAAACACATCATCCTGAAAAGCTGGACCTGTGGCTCAAGAGGGGATGGCATTTTCAGAAACGGTGTCCTCCGTTAAGTCCGTTTAAACTTTGTAATAAAGCATGAATGACAGATTGATAACTAATTTCTGTTTTTTTTATCAGTGCCACAGGGCATGATGCCCCCTTTCCCGGGGATGTTCCCTCTTTGGCCACCTATGGGTCCTGTTCCAATCCCTCAACATGGGGGAGCTGCTGCCCCACACATGCCTGCACGGGATGCTGGGACTGATCAGGGTTCATCAGGTGCAGGTACGTCTCAATGGCATATGTCAATACATGTGTAATGTCATCATGCAAAAGTATCATATAAATCTAACAGGTGTGTAGGATGACATGGATGAATTGTCACCAAAATTGACATCCAATGTTAAATTGTTCACTCAAGAACTGGCATGAATCTGCAGGAGCGGCCTCCACGGATTGTGTTTTAGGCCCACCCCACTTCCCTGCAGTCCCACCCCCTGGGCAGGCTGAGGCAATGAGAGGCCTGCCATGTGCAGTGTTGGCCATACTTTCCGAGAGGAGCGTGAGGTGGTGGAAAGCAATGTAGAGGCTGTTTTTTAATTACCTTTTGAAGCCTCATATGGGTTTATGAAAAAACTCCGCCAACCAGTTCTTATCCTCTTTGTAACATTGCGCAGACGGATTGCGCAAGTGAAGGAGGATGGAACACAACACAGATCATTACACGTGTCCCCCCCCTTCTCCAAGCGTATCTTTGTGGCTCAGCCATGAACACAAACTTTGAAAGGCCACCGTATAAACATTTTCAAGCATGACATGAGGCTTTTCACTTTTTTATTTTACCATGTGAATCGATGAATGTAACAGTTTATAGTCAGGATTCGATTTAACAATTGTTATTTGTCTCCTTACCATCCTGCTTGCATTATGTCTTGTCATCTTAAATATCAGGTGTACAATGTTAACTTACGTGTGGCATTTGCTTATAAATTGATTACAATTCAGATAACTTGTAAAAATAATTCTTCCGGGCACGGATTCATTGCATGTACTGTGAGCATATGAACCAGATGGGAGTAAGATGCTATAGCGTTAGTTCCACCAGACAGAGGGCATGCTCAATGCTGAGACATTTTTCATATATATTTTCTGCCTGTTATCTCATAATTACGTGTGCTTAAAATATAAAGACCCAGCCATGCATTTCGTCCCACACTTATACTCTCCTGTTGGCCACGGGTTCCAACTGATTCTGTGCCCTTTGTTGAATTACCTGTGACACTTAATGGCTTTCCGGTTTTGTTAATACGTCAATTTATGTTTGCAGCCGAACCTACGAATCGCGCCGTGGCTTCGTCGGTGTGCGTTAGCCACATTAACTCCACACGAGTGTTGTTACTTTTACATTTGTGGGATGCCTCAGCTTTGAAGAACGTGCTTTCTTCTTTTTTATCCAAAATTTTTTGTTGCCGTTGAAAGTTTCTTCTGCTGCAGTCTTAATGCTGCCGTTTTACCCACTGGCAGGCGTTGGTGAGAGTGCTGCAAATGGGGCCTCGGCTTCAGCCAATGCTTTGCCAGGGTCCTTCCCGGACTTCTCTGCTTTCCCCCCTCATCTGCCGCCACTCTTTATGCCCGGATTCGCACCTCCCCAGGTGTTTGGTGAGTGAGGTTTGGTTTCACTCTTGACTCCTGCTGCTCAAAAACAATACGTTCATTTCACCTGGAACACACCCGTTATCGTTGGATCTCGGAAGCCTGGCGGGGTTTAGCCTCGATGGTGCAAGGATGGGTGAGCACATTGCATGGCAGGTTGTAGTGGGCTGCTGGGAGGCAACGTGGTAAGTAGTGGGTGCAGCAAAATCCATTGTTGTACTGTACTTCTATGTCCTCACGCCTGTGTCCCTTGCCTTCATTAACACGCACTGGCCAGCGCGGTGAAGTGTGGTCAAATAACCCCTCACTACCCCCGCATAGCATGGGGAGGCCCTCATCAGCTGTGGACTGTCTGGAGAGGCTACGCATGTACATGTACACATGCTCAAGAGTAATGTCAAATGGGTACAATGTGAAGCGCAAAGGATTCCCATCATGCCGAATGTGCTTCACGTTTCGACTGTATCATGCGCATGCCGGCTGCCACTCGACTGAGCCAACCGTGGCCTGTCGCTCGTTGGGTCGCAGGCCTGCCACCCATGCCCACGCCGCCGGACGACCTGGGAGGGCTGAGTGAGGAAGAGCTGCGCGCCATGGAGGGCACGGAGCGACGCCACCTGGAGGCGCGGGTGCGCTGTCTGCGCAACATCCAGACGCTCCTCGATGCCGCCGTCATGCAAATGCAGCAGTACTCGACCCTCGTCGCGACCTTGAGGCAAGTAGGCTACTCGGCGGCCAAACGTGCAGTCATTCCTTCTCGGCAGAAGCCGCCCCCTTGGTCTGGGATCTCCTCGTTTTGTTTTATGTTTATAGAGCACCTTTGATCAAGGCGCTTAACGTAGTAATAAAAAAAACGGGATGAACAAATAAATAATTTACATGGCAGGCCACGGTGCAGGGTTTGAGCAAAGGGTGACCATGGTCGAGGGTGAGCAGGGGTTGGGAAAGGCGAGGGGAGGGACGGGAAGAAGAGGCGTGGCAGTGTGAAGCAAGAGGAAGAGACTGGGCAAGTGAGACGAGGTGGGCTTTCAGAGAGGAACGCAAGAAGGTTAAGGAGGTGGACTGCTTAATGTTAAAGGAGAGTTTATTCCAGTGGAGTGGTGCATGGTAAGAACCTTTCCCTGCTCAGGTCCCGGGATCATGACCTTTTGTCCACAGCCTTTGAATACTGTTTCTTAGATATAAAGTTTTGCAATTGCACCTTACCGTGCTCTAATCTCACTTGCCTGCCCCAACCTAGATGCCTAAAAAAATATACATTTTGCTTCGCTGTTCCACTCCCTGCACACGTGTCCACCTGTGGTGTAGAATTTTGAGATACTGTCGCTTTCTAATGCTCTCTTAAGTGTTATTTGTAATATTGCAGGAGCAAATGCAACACACTGCTCTTGCTCTTTATACAACGCGATGGTGAATTGTACGGATGACCTTCATCGTCCGAATGTGGCTCATTTAAGCAATATACTTTTACCGACATTAATATTAAATGGAGCGGTGATGCAGTGGTTGGCAAATTGCCCTAACCAGCTGATAATGACATTAATAAACATGGTCAATCGTCCCATGTAACAGAAAGACGCGAGTGAGCCTTCATCCAGCAGTGCATTGTCCAAGGGCTGTACATTAACTTGTAATAGTAACACAGTGCCTTACCTTATTGTTTTTTTGCAGTGTTGCTGGAGAACAGAGAACTGAGCCAACGGCCAGCAGGAACAAGCAGTCTGTTGTCGATGAATAATGACCCGCCGCCTGCTTCCACTTCGGAAACAACACCCACCACCCTCGGAGCCAATGGCTCCGCAGACCTCCGCTCTGCTGGAGTGGAGGCAGCTGGGATTGAAACCCTTGAGGCTGGCGCTGAAGCAGAGGATGGATTTGGTAATGTCGTCATATTAAACAATGCGAACGGTTCTATGTCTGGCTTCACGTTCACTGCATTCACAAGAATTACAAGGCCTACCAAGTTTGATTGATATCGTTGCTTTACCTGCCTGCTACCTTGCTCTCACTGTAACATACAAACATGTCATTTGACAATAGCTGCAACCCTGTAAATATTTTGCACGAGGAGAATGGTTGCGCTGTGATGAGCACACCAAGCTATGCACCTGGCCACCTGAGTTGGATTCCAGCTACAGCGAACATCAGTGGCCAGAGATATCTGCTGAACCAGTTCTTCCGCTCTTCCCCTAGTCGTGAAATATGGAAATACAAATCCCATTACCGACGCTGTGCGTGGGAGGCCGATATCCAGAAGTGGATTCACAAAAGAGCTGTAAATTATCACATTTTACAATCGCAACATTGCTTTTAGTCTGCCTCTTGACTACATTAATGTCAATGCAAGCCCATTATATGGAGTGCAGAGTGGGATTGTTTGGTGTGTTTGTGTAAATCTTGCGTGAATAATGTTTAATTTATAAAGCACCTTTCATATTGAAGTGTCTCAAAGCAGTGTACATTAAGATAAAACTACGCTCAAATGCCTTAACTGGTTGTGGTTGTTTCCATCGTACCTGCTGTTTACTAGTACATTTTTATTTCCCCCTCCCCCGTCCCACACTCAGCTTCCCACTTCTAGCCCCGCCCACTTCCCCCTCCAGCCTCACGTCCTCTTCACCTCGTGCTCACGCAGCCCCCCCCCTTCCCTTACCCCACAACCCCTCCCTCTCTCCCCCCTTTCTTACCTATATAACCTCTTTCCACGGCAGCCCTCGCTTGCCTACTTCAGCTTTTTATTGCTGTGGTTGTTCCACCTGATGAAGATTGCTTGTGTTGCGATCGAAACGTCGTAATATGTTTTATTTTATTTCTACCCACGTGACTTTACCGAAAGAACCAAAGAGTTCGCTCACAAGTATAGATGAAATAAGCGAAATAAAAAGTGTATAATAATAATATCAATGACTACTCTCGAAATCCCAATAAAATAAAATAAACTGATGAAAGCAAATAAGAATTACAGAGTAATCCAATCGGACAACAACGTTTTTTTTATCTTAAGTTACAGGGAAAGCCTGTTGTACAAGTAGATGAGTTTTAAGACGTAATTTAGAAAGTGAAATTGACTCCTAATCCCTAATGGACCGAGGAAGAGGTTTCCACAATTGCCGTCTTGTTGGATGCTGCATAACTCAGCACCGTTGGGTGTACATTGCACTGCTCACGTTCTGCTCTGTGTGCCCCCCCCCCCTCGTGCCAGAAGGTGGCGCGTTTGGTGGCGAGCAGCCAGAGGAGTCGACGACGCAGGGTGGTGAGCCATCGGAAGGCTCCCTGCCCAATGAGCCCGATGCCAACGAGCTGCGACGGCGGCGCCTGCAGAAGCTGGAATTTGACAGCAGGCAGTGAGGGCCTGTGAGCAATCGTTCGAACTGACGGAGGAGATAGGGGGGGGGAATCTAGTTTTATATGCTCCTGCACACTGGATGGTGAGAGGACCTGGACTCAATTTGTGCCCCACCCATCCTTTCTTTGCTCGTGCTCATTGCACAAGCCCTGTCAAGCCTGCAGAGGAATGTTTTGGTGAAACCAATTGGTCAGATGTTTTTTTTTGGTTTCGTTTTTGTCCCTTGCAAAGCCATTTGTACATTCGGTTTTCTTTGTTAACGTGGGTTTATTGCATCCGTGACTTTTCCGATATCTGCTTTGTATGACAAATTTTAACAAGTGCAGATATTTCCGTGGACAGTCGCCCAGTGATTAAATGTTTGAATATTAGTTGTCCATCTGCCTTGTGTTGAGCTTGGTCAGAGTTGAATAAGATTTAAGAAAGCATACTTAAATGAAGCACGTTCATGTCTTCACGTGAAATGTGTAATGTACATCGCCGAGTGCTGAAAACAGCTCAACAACAATGTGATCTGATTGTGTAATTTAACTTAAATGCTCCATTTATAATTTTCTGCTACTCAAAACATACTATCTTGGTCATATATTGTGCTTGTATGGCACGCAGCATTGCTTATTTCACAAAAACTTTAAGACAAATTGTAGTCATGAACAGCATTAAGTTATTGTCTTGCATTCATTTGCTTAGGAAACATGAAACGTAATTTATGTGTAAGATTGATTATTGTTGATGACCAGAGGCAAGGAAGGCACCTGACAGGGTGTAACACTTATTGTTTGCTTTGTTTTCATGCTTTTTTTTTTCAAAGTTTAAACAAATCGGAAAATTTTGACGCGTGTACAAAATGATGTGAAAAGGAAAATCATTATTTTCATAGGCAGGTTAGATTTGTTGGCTACTTTGGTAAGTGTTTATTTTTTATTTTTTTTCCCCCAATAAGATGTGACATTTGTTTCGTTTAAATCCCAAGTGTCTATACATTTGTAGGAAAGCAAGCGTGTTGTTTCTACGTCGTTAAAACTCACAAATATGGAAATAAAAGCAAGGTTTGGGAACTACACTGACAAAAAATGCTAAAGTGTAATTCATATTTCACTCCCATAATACTTATACTGCTGTGTGTTTTATCACAGTCGGTGCTGTATTAGCCGTCCCATGCATTTTTGGGTTGAACCTCTTTTTGTTTGGGATGTCTGACGTTTCCCTCCACATGCTTCTTCAGTAACTGAGCTTTTTCAGCTCGGCACATGGAGCAAAATGTCAAACGGAAAACCAAACCATGTGGTACAACCCTAAAACCATCAAGCGCTACTTAGAAAACGTGTTAATTGCATTTTTAATTGGGGAAATGTAATTTTCAGTCTACAGCATGCCACTGAAGGCTTAATCCACTGCAGTCAGAGTGTAATATTTTGCCAAATGTATGGATTGCATTGCTTAAAGCAACTCATAGGAACTGAAACACACCTACGTTTGGCAGACCTGCCTTTGAAATTCTGGGCGTGTGCACACCTGTAGAAATGTTAATTTCATAGCAATGTTCTCGTGCATATTGCACAAAGAAAACAACTGTACAGACTGCTGTAATGTATGAAAATTAAACTTGTTTTTTTTCTTGAGAAAGGACGATGCTCTTGTGTCGTGTGTGCTGTTGTCTTTCTAATCTAATTAGATTTGTTTTTTAAGCCTCGCAGTGCCTTGTTTGCAATTTCAAGTCACGGACGGATGCCAACTTTAGAACTGCGTGGCAAAATAGTGACGCTCTGTGGACGCAGTGTAACATTACAGCGATGTGGAGATGATTAGGATGCGGAAATCGTGTGTTGCAGAGTCGAAAACAACTTTTGCACATAATACTGGTCGGAACCTCCTGGTTACACCAGCCCACAGGGGATTATTGTGTCCGTCCGTTGTGCAGGGATGGGCTGGGTGAGGGGTGGGGAGGGGCTGGTCACCCCGTGGTGCCCTTATAAAACTCAACGTTTAACCTACTCACGCCGGCTTGTGCCCGCCCTCACAGTCGGGCATATTTGCGGAATACACCACGCCGCCGTTGACCCTGGGCATTGACCGAGCAACCCAACGTTCCTACCAGCTCCCTCCGCAGGACAATGTGTTTACCAGTGGCAACAGCTAAACGTCTGTTAAGCTGCGATTTGCCGATTAATCAGTGTTGAACTGATAACGGTAAATTAATCCATTGCTTAAATATTTGTATTACCCATATCTCATCCTTGTGTGTTGAGGTGTGTACAGTATACCTGACTGAAAGTTGTATCTGCGATTAACATACGCGATACTGTCATTTAACATTTTAAGGTTTTGGGATGTTTATGTTATAAACACACACAATGCATGGGGGGGGGGGGCAACCCATCTTCCCCCCAAACTGGATACCTTTAATTTACTTTCAGTAGTTTAAAAATTAAAAACATTTGTACCCGCGATTCCTGATGTGAGGGACAAAGAGAACCCCTGCCCCCCCCCCCCCCCAAATAGAGAAGTCAAACTCCGCCTCGCCGAGGTGTCACACCTCCTGCTCACGTATCCTTACCAACTAAATCATTCTGACTGGAGACATCGCTGAGATCTCCCAAGAAGGAACGATGGCCGAGCAGACGAGGCGAACCACGTGGCAACGGGAAAGAGGGGGAATTTGCCCGAGAAGACGTCCTTGGTGGAGATTGAGTGCGGGGTTGGGCAACTGCTTGCGGAGGCCGTGATCCAGCAGTGGGTTGATCACGGCTAACGATGCCTTGATGACGAACGTGAGAAGGTTTATCCGAGAGGTGTTAATTCTCATGTGCACTCGTGGAATGCGTTAAGCAAAAATAAATGTGTGGGACTGCGTTGGAAATGGCGTGCAAGCACAAGGACATCACGTTTGCCATGAGAAAAATAAAAAATTAACCCGTAAAAACAAAGTTTTTCACTCTAAATCCTTTATATGCGTGGCGGCTAGAGTCTTCTCGTCCCCTGGCTTGAGATGGCTGCCACCTATGGGTCAGATGATTGTCTGCCAGCATTAAGCAATTGGTAATTAAATATTTTTAAAAAATTCCCTAAACAGTGTAAAAATTTTGGAAAAAATTTTTCACGAAATTTAATTGTCACGCACAACGAGTCTGTGTGGAAAATGTCAGCTTGATTGGATCACGGGAAGTGGGTTAAATAACGACAGAAAGATTTGCACGGTCGTAAGCAAGCACGCAAGCAAGCGAACTTCATATAAAGGATTTAAAAATGTGATAGTTTTTTTCCAGCGGGGGTGGAGGGGGAGGAGAGCGTGGATGCACGGTGAAACAAGCAAACGGAACAGGTTTATGTGACATCACAAGAGACGATGAAAAACACGGGAGTTGCATTCAAAGAGGATGAACAATCCACACATAACATAGCCACTCCGTAAAATAATCAGGTGGAGAGAGAAAAGCCAGTGAAGAAACAACGCACAGTTATTTGAAGATGTCAGCAGGAATAGGGAGGAGCATCACAAGTCGCTTAGGAAGTTAACGAGTGCTAATTAGCAGATGGAAGCAGAACATATTAGACAGAATCTTAAGAAAATTAGTGGAGGGATTTTGTTAATCGGTCACAAGAATCAAAATTGCAGATGAACTTGAGGACGAAATCCACACACTGCCCTCTGTTAACCGTACCCACAATAACAAAAAGGGCGCAGATACAATTCCCCATCCAGGGAGCACACAAACTTGAGATACCAGCATGCCAGGGGCAATCAATGCTGGCTCCTCACCTTCCCCGCGATAAATCCAAGCACAGTCGACATACTCTTTGGTTATTTCGGTAAAGTCACGTAGGTATAAAGTAAAATAAATCACGACGTTTCGATCGCAACACAAGCGGTCGTCCTCAGGCGGAAACAAATGCTGGATTATATTATTTCCGTCTGAGGACGACCGCTTGTGTTGCGATCGAAACGTCGTGATTTATTTTATTTGATACCTACGTGATTATAACCGAAAGAACCAAAGAGTATGGATTCCTGCAGTCACGAAAGCTTCAAATCAACACAGTCTACATGTTTTGATTTAAAGCTTTCGTGACTGCAAGGATTCATATTCTTGCTTCTTTCGGTAAAGTCACGTAGAAGGGAAATTATAAAATAATACAAATATTAAACAATACAATTCTCAGGTGATGATGATTGCCTGTGTTGCAGTCGAAACGTCCTGATAATTTTATTGTTTAATATATTTATTATTTTATTATTTCTCTTCTATGTGACTTTACCGAAAGAATTAAGAATATGAGAGTCTACGTGTTCCCGAGTTATCGCGATCTTCCCCAATTCAAGAAAAGTACGAACTCACTCCTCTGTTTTGCCTTCGACGGCGCTGCAAGTTGCTGCCGATTGGCGTTTTGAGTCTGGCCCCGTGCTTCGCCACCGTGATTATTCAAACGTTGCACGGTGTGTACCGTGCGTTATGTTGAACTTCTTTCGAAAGCGAACGTAGCCAACCGTTTGGTACCCCCTCGGATAACCACTGTGACCGTAAGGCACCTGATCATCTATTTAGCGCTGCATTGAACCGTTTGGACTGCAATGCTTAACCCCGTCAGAATGTCCCATCCGTCGTTTTTGTGAGAAACTACAACACCCAAAGAAGCAAACTACGACGTACAGCGAAATTAAAGTAATCCCAATGTTAGAAGTGGTTTTTTACCCTTTTATCTGGCAACAAACTGACATCGTTTTTTACAAGGAGTCATGTTTGCGTAGACCACAATGCCTGCAGTCATAATGCAAAAAAACATAACTCGGATAATGTATGCACTGTATGCACATCAGAGAGGACTGTGCACATTATCAGAGCTATGTTTTTTTGTTTGCATTATGACTGCAGGTATTGTGGTCTATGCAAACATGACTCCTTGTAAAAAAAGGTGACAGTTTTGTTGCCAGATAAAAGGGTAAAAAAACAATTATCAGATTTTTTTCTTCTGGCAAATGAGGTTCCAATGGTGATCCCAATGTTCCTATATCCTGCTGAATAGCTCTGTGGTGTATTTTCGGATTGAACCTTGTGTTGTTCGGCACAATGTCCGACATTGAGCTTCACTTACTGGGATGATTCGTCTTCACGATCTTGAGAAACTGCGGGTAGCATCTTCAGGAACAGTTCATGAAAACCCTCCCAAGCACATGCAGCGAAACGTCAGACACACCGAACAACACAAAAACCCAACGGAGACCTGTCTAGAATTTTTGGTTTTAAGCTGCCAATAATACGCCTCTATATCGTCGCGATCTATGAGTAATAATATATTACGCTTCAAATCAAAAAGAATAATAGATTGCATTTAAAATATGTGCAGCCTACTTGATCCGCAGAAGCGTATATATAACTTTCGATTTAAAGCTTTCGTGACTGCAGGGAATCACATTCTTGGTTCTTTCGGTAAGTCACGTAGAAGCGAAATAATGAAATAATAAAAATATAAAACAATATTATTTCCCTTCTACGTGACTTTACAGAAAGAACCAAGAAAAGGTATATATAACCTTTCTCGGAGTCTGAAAAAAATACGTCACGTTTGTGCAATCTCACATCGACAGCAAATTGAGTAATGTTGGCTTTCGGGGACACGGGGTCCAGCGCCTACATATTTGTTCAAAAGAGGGCAGTCGCGGTCGGAGTGTCCTGCCCGTTCCCCTGAGCTCACTGGCACGGTCAGGCTGAGCCACCTCAGCATTTATTTTATTTCACCGCGTCCACGTGTCCACTCACCAACAACTTAGACAGGGAAAGCCTCAAATGAGTCTCGAGGCTCATCGTCGGGAGGGTCAGACGCGGCCTGCATTGTGCGTTTGGCAATGCCCGAATGCAGCACGGTTGAGAGTGCCTACACCGAGGAGATGGAGTGATGAGATGAGTTTGTCTGCACGTGCTGGGCTGGATTGTGTCCATCATGAGATCGTGGGAGCTGGTGGCGGCTTTTGGAAGGAGGCGTTCGATCAGTCGTGGATTGATCATGGCTGACGATGTTGATGATATAGTAGTAGGTTTTTACCCTTTAAACTGGTACAAAACTGACACCTTTATACAAGGCATCATGTTTGCAATAACCACAACACAAGTGCAAACATGATGCCTTGTATAAAGGTGTCAGTTTTGTACCAGTTTAAAGGGTAAAAACCTACTACTATATTTTGCCACTGGTAAAGGAGGTCTCATGATGTTGATGATGATGATGATGATTTTCCCGCACCGCCGATTAGTACCGTCGGTTACGTATTGTGTGAATGAAGTTAAATATAATACCTACATTGCATGTATTAGAAACGTAGAGTTACGTGAAGAAATGCCATGTAATATGAGAGAACACTCAAGCTCTGTACTGATCCATTAAACAGTCCGTTTTGCCGTACTGATGTTCCATGGCTGCCTCGCATCTTAATGGGTGTGAGAGTTTTACAAATGCACATAATCCACAAAGTTTTCTCCAAAAGTGTATCATCAGAGGCATGCAACACCAAGCCGAGTCCAATGCCAAAGGACACACTTTTTTGCAGGGATTTTAATCGGAGGCGCGGGGAAAGGACAACAAACTGAACACAAAAAAGCAGTTCTAAAGAAATTAGTTTTCAATCTAG